ACGATGGTGAAAGAATTGCGACGTATCGCACCATAGGATGAGTAAGAGATGAGTAAGGCATAGACCTGTCTAGACCGTTCTGGAGTAGTACGGATTGTCCTAGACAGTACCAGAAGAGTCCGGAAGCATAGCTATAGTACACGAGCAGAGAGTCCCAAATATGGTAACATACTACATAAGCGACTACAGCTAAGCGCTAGGAGACGCATAGCCTCGTGTAGTCCGGACCGGATAAGTCCAAGTTCAACAGGCGTCGTAGTGGACTTGGCGTAGATTGAGGATAAAGCGTGAGATGAGGATATAAGAGAGCCTGTTTGCGTGAATTCCAGGTCAGGAAGCTTTTCACATCAACATAGGCGAGTCAGAACGTACGCGTCTGCAAATAGGCCTGCAGAAGTTGTGGTGGATCCGAACTCTTTGCGCTGTTGTATGGAACCGTTAGTGAGGAATTCATGTATGCAATAGAGGAGTAGTGAGAGGTACATGGGTGCTGTCAAAGCCAAAATGGACGGCGTCGAATGATGCTATCACCCTGAGCAGCGGCGGTGACAAAGTTAGACACATCAACAGTTGGAACCACGCGTGCACATGCACACCTACAAGAAATAAAGACTTCCTAAGCATTAGATCCATCATACAGTTAGCCTGGTCTGACTTATTGGCATCGGGGAGATACACACCGTTGTAGAACATGACAGAGGTCAGCGAAGGCCCTATACGGGCGTCACGAACAATCCTTCGGGTTGTGTATGTGTAGCGCCAAGTCACGACTAAAACAAGACATTCCGCGATGATGTTGCTCCCTCGAACTAAAAACGGAACTTTACACAAGTACGTGAGCAGAGGAAAATTGGTGATGTCGTTTTCTCTCACACCTAGACATGAAGTGAATAATGGGACTTGGATACAGATCTCAACGATGGGTTGACTCACATTATATTGAGTCTCTCTGGGGTGAGATCATTTACGCCACAGTTGTATGGCTCGGGCTGGTTCTTCGGTGGGACCCATTTGGCATTCTGGGTCTAGTTCCTGGATGCGTCAGCACGTCAGGCCCATGGAGATAGAACCAAGAAGATACCGACCAGGGAAACAACTGCAGGCATGATTGAGAGCACAAATGTGACCGACGCAAGGGGCCTGTTCATTCCTGATAGTGCGAGTACTCGCATGGTAGAGAAGCCTACGGAAAACTAACATTGAATATAGGCAATAATGCACCAGAGCTTAGCCACTCAATGCAGAAAAGGAGCTGGCTGAGAGCGTAAAGGATGTGTTGACACCATACGTTGATGTCACAGCTATTCAAGGGGATGGTAGTGAACATTACTTTGCCTGGGGAAAAGGATTTGGAGTGTGATACCTCTGAGAAAGACGCTATAATTGACTCGACGCCGATGGTACCATGTGATCACTTACTAGTGTTGTCATCGGGAAGATAGTCATGACTGATAGAGCATGCATGACGAGCAAGCAGTAACGATTGAGGACATAAACTAGAGATGCCCAAGTGAAGCCATTCATTTTTCTCCAGATGAGAGAAATTTCTTGGTCCAAGCACAGAATCCAATCATAAGCGAGAAGCGCTGTGGCTCTATCGTTACTGTTTGCAACAGATAGAAGGGGTGACCCCACGCACACATCACAGCGCCGCATACTTGTATGCCTGTGATTCTATAGTCCATTGAGAGGGTGTGAGAAACCATGGACACGTCACGGTGTAGACGCAGCGACATACAGTGATGACATGTTCAAAACTATCCCGGCTTGGTAGGATGACATGGTTTTATATCACTAAAGAAATGGCAACAAGGCACATCTCGTTTAGAAGTGGTGAATAGTCGAGGGAAGATTGGTACTTACACAAGTGTGTGCCCGAACGATCGTGTGTAGCTGGAGGACAGGAGGCAAAGCGAGGTCGTGCTTGAGAGACGCAGGCTTTCATCAGTAAACCGTGCATGAGCTTAATGACTTAGCGCCTTAAGCCACTTAGCTCTCCCACGCCATATCTTCGAGTTGCTCACCCTCAACTCCGTGAAGCGTGTCAATGATGGAGCGGAGGAGAGTGAGAGACCAGGAGAGACCAGTTGGAGCGTGTACAGACATTGTGACAGAGGCTGCCACGCGCGACGACGGTGCAGAACGTATTTGCATTCGCCCATCTTAATCGTCTTAATGCGTCTTAATTGAGCATCTTAATTCTTACGTCTTATACGATCTTAAAGCCATCTTAAGCGCCTTAATGCCCTTAAAGGCGATTTTAAGGGGCATTAAGTGATTCCCAGGTTTCCTGATGACTTATAGCTGGGTCGCCGTAGCTGACGGAACTAGAGCGACGAGATTGTACTGTGGGATGCGAATTAGAGGTTCCAGAACATGAGTGGAGCCCTGTGCAAGATGGACAGCTGAATTGTAGAATACAACGAGCTGCTCGTGTAATTTCATAAGGCAATGGAGAACGCCAGTGATATCAAAAAGGCGACTGACGTCTAGATGGACGTGCACGTCCGCAATCCTGCTCAGCGCCCCATGAGTCCAAAGCGACGATCAAGCGCGCTTGTGTACCCAAACACGTCCACATACCATGCGTGGGTCCATTTCGACATCGATCGCCTGCATCCACAAGTCAATTGAGGACCGCGGCCGGTACCTGCTTCCGGAACCGAGGCAGTCATCTCGGAGCGCTGACTTCCGACCTTCCTTGATAGTCTTTCTGCTTCCTAGCACGCCAGATCACTACCGTACCGAATCGACGAGCACTTCAGTCCTTGCAGGCCCATGTGTTGTCCCTCAAGGGCTCCATCCTGGCTCCCGTCATGTATACGCTTCGTGCTCCGACCTGTCAGTGAGTCGCTCATCAGCCATCGGTTGGTCGGAGATGTAACGACGTTTCTCTGTAACATGAGTCATATAGCGTAGCCTGCAGCCGCCAGTCAAATCTTTTCCTTGCTCCTCGTCCACCATAATGTTGAGCTGACTTCGTACACTTTCCCAGGCGCACAAGAGTAGCAGCGCGCCACCACCTCTCTCGGGCCCCCTATGCTAGACTCCGAACTCTAAGGGATTGAGACCCTCGTCTTGTACCCGCTGAACGGCTCGGGCTCATGTAATCCCACGAGACAACGCCTTTCGGCACCCCAAGTTTATCGTCGAGCATGTCCAAGAGCAAATGTTTCATCGGGAGTAGCGTATGAATGAACAGTTCTACCGACATCCACCCGCGCGTTGATAGTGATGTAGGTACGAAGAGAAGGCGTGGACTCGCACAAGAACCCTGCTCGTCGGGCCTGGACTAGAGCTTCTCGAAACTCGAAACTCGTCAGCGGGCGGTGCTGTTGGACACGATCAAGGGGGTCGGGAGTTGCGTGGGTTGGTTCGCGTTGTAAGGCCAAGCCGCTGGGTTGGTGAGCGGTGGAGGTCGTCGGATGGGACGCAACGTCCACCGTAATCCACTGGTGTCTGATGGCATTCTATGACTCACAGCGGGGGTCAATTTCAATTACTGGATGTGTGCTGACCTTACTTTGGTCCAGTGCGATGGATTTTTGCAGCGGCAGGGCCGAAACTTCTGACTGCCAGTGCGGCTACCTCTGTCCCGGAGCGAGTCCGCCGAGATGGCCACCCATCCCCGACGTCGGGATTCCGTCTCCTATGCAATTCTGCGCCTCTATGCTCTTCTCCTTCACATGCATATCCTCCCACTCATCGACGCTACCCTGCACGACCTGCACGACCTGCACGACCGCAAGGCACACATCCCGCACCGGCGCATCACATACGGCATCCTGCCCGTTTAAAACAATGTCTGGGGGCGACGTGCCGCAGAGGGGGGCTGTCCTATTCCAAAGCTGTCCGCAACGACGCACCCATAGTCGACACGACGCGCAACTACTTCGCGGAGGAGCGCTCCGTCCTCCTGCTGAGTAGCGCAGTACATGCCTGTGCCGTTCGTAAATAGCGTAGTCGTATTCCCGAACGCAGCTCCCAAGAGAACATGGCTATATCACAGCTCGCCGGCGTACAAATGTTCGTCCTGTTGCACAATCGCAGCGTCGTCCGGCTTAGCTCTGTACGCAAAGGCGACGGCACGCGGGCATAGGGCGACGTTCAACTCGAAGGTCTCCGTGCGGTAGATGTTCAGTGGCCACAAGGCCGGTGCGGTCGTTCCCTGAGGCACATATCCGGTAGGGATCCCATCTGGTAGCTCGCGCCCGTCGATGTCGTACTGCAGCGCGACCTGCACCGAGTGTGAACGCAACGAAGCCGAATATGCCCTGTTTTGGGAGGATGCCCTAGTCGCCAGCGAGAGATGATGGGACTGGGTGATATTCTTAGAGAGGGTAGTGGATGAGAGCGGACGTACATAGCACCACGTTGATATCGCCCCCATCGGTGCCGGAATCGCAGATGTTGGCTATGGTTGTGCACAGGACGACGGGTGTATGCGGCAGGAGATCGGCGATGGCGACGCTGTGTGCGAGGAGAACGAACAAGGAGATCCCGACATGCGTTGGCCCCGCCAATGTGCTTGGTAGGGAGGGAGGGAGGGAGGGAGTTTGGAAGAATGCGCTCCGGAGGCTAGTATACAAGAAATACTCACAAAGTCAATGATGATCGATGACGACCTGGGGTGCTAAGAGCCCCAAATTGGCTTCCGGCACTATGACCTGGATCACCCACGATGCGAGGAGTCTCCAGAGGGACGTTCACATGAAGACAAGAACAACCTAGCAGTTGCGTTGGATGCGAGAGAACGCAGGCACCCAGCAGTTGTACGAGACGGCAACACACTTGAGAGTCGGAAGAAGACCAGAATCTGCCGCAGCGCAGCACTGCCATGGTACAGATGGTAGGACCAGCGCTGCGGCAGATATGACGGCCTTCCCTCCTGACAATGCATGCTAGGTGCAGGACAACGCACTGAACATAGATACGCACCTTATGCCTGACATGAATAGCGTTGGCGTCCACTCTACCGAGTCTACAAATCGGGCGGAAATACAGGCAGACTTACTTTGCATGGACGTCAACAGTGATCTATGAAAAGCAGTCCGACCCTGAGAAATCCAGTAGATCGACCACCTGAGCAGATGTATGCAGAGGCGGAGGGACAGCAATTACAAGAGGTTGGGTGCATGAAGAGGATAGATGAGGGCATGAGGACTTGAGACGTTCCTGGCACCGTAGAAGGTCACAATGAAGCACGTGACTACTAGCGCGGTCTATGCGATTGCGGGCCCCCGTGGCCTGCACCTTTCTTCCGAATTCATTGTTACTCGCTCTTATCCCCCTCCCTTGACCACCTTCTCCCATGTACTACTTGTCTCGACTGTCACATCTCATGACCCAAGGATTTCGTCCGCCCCAGAATGACCAAGCAAGACTGCAGAGCTGCGCTTACCATCAGGGAGCACACCAACTCAGTTCTCTCCCCTCACAGCCTTATGCGAGCGATCCTAAATGTCACCCTGCTGGAACCTTCTGAGAAATTGGCGTTTGAGACGGACTGTCGGTGGAAGCGCTCTGCGGGGCCTACCCAGATCGTGAATCTCGGTGAGATCTTCATCTGTGAGCCGCTCCTTGCTGCACTCTCCTCGTGGAGCATGCAATCCATTGCTATCAGCCGATCTTCCCTCGCCCGACACGGTTTCTCTCAATCATTATCCTACAACCATAGACCAACGAATGATTTCCGTATGCATCATTTGTACGATTCCGTAAAGTTGCGCAGTCACATTACTGGAGCACATATGTGTATAGATGCGCCACTCCATGCCTGGTCAAGGCAGATATCCACAGCACCGAGCGTACCAACTGTTTTTACTATCATAACGGTTTGTTACAGTATGCTCTGAACTGCCTGATATCTTCTGTTTCCACATAGGCATGCATCTATTTTGAACCTTACATTAGTCTGTCCCAGGAAACACTCTTTCCACAACCACAGGCACGCAAGGCAGCTCCAGTGCCTGAATGCTAACAGCCGTGCACCGTTGACCGAGTATCTCAGCTCAAGCTCTCCCCAGGACTGTAAAGAGAATGGTTGTCTGCCGCAGGGTGTCCGCCCACGTCATCCCCCATCCGTCAGTCTGGATCTTGACGGACGCGAGACATAAGTTCAGTACGTCTAACGGTCATCCTCCCCCCCCTTCCTTCCCCCCTCTAGCCCGATCGACCCTCAAGACAGGACGACCATCACGACAACCCGCGCGAGCCGAAGACCCTGGACCCAGGATCGCGGGCCCGTGTGCCCGTGAGGTATGCCCGACACACGTCGCGGCGTTGTTCGTGGGAGGGAGTCATGGACCTGACGATCGCGGCAACGACGCACGTACTAGGGCATCTCGTCTTGCTTCGTCTGCCTTTCGCGTTCGTGTCGCTGCTATCTTCTCTCCGCAGATCTCCGCAACGGACCACGTTACGACGCAAGCCGACCGGCTCGACCTCAAATTGCGAATCTCGAACCTCGAACCTCAAGACCGACAGTGCCGACGGGTTGGCGTTGGTGAGGCTGGGGGAGGGAGTTGATCGCCCTGGTGAACCTGGTCTCCCGCGTCGGGGGTGCATGGCTGGACGATGTTGTGTTTCGTGCTTCGGCTTGTTTTCCTGGACTGGGACGGTTTCGGTGGTTTCGTTTCGTTCTCGGTTTGGTTTTGGTTTTGGTTTCGTTCCCAGTTTTGGTTTTGGTCTCGGTTTTGGTTTTGATTTTGGTTTCGGTTCGTTCACGGACTCGGACTTGGACTTTGACTCGGACTAGGACTCGTTGCAATTGACTTCCATATTCTCATCTAGATCTTCAGGCCAAGGACCGGGTGCGGCGACGAGGAGAGGGTGCGGCGGTGGTACGGAGTCTCGCCGTCTTTTACTAAGGCCTCGTCAATCCTTCTTCGAGTCGTCGTGCCTCGAGGCCAACGGAACACTTGTCGTAGGGGAGGGCGCGGTGTGCGGTACTGGGTCTAACCCTGATGCGTACGACCAACCTCTTCTCTCGGCTCGTCCTCCGGTTCGACACCACACGGGCAGCCTCTGATCGGGAGCGAGGGGGGCGGTCTAGGGTACGGGGAGTCGCCGCCTCTTGTGCCCTCTTCCAATCTCTTCCTCTCGGTTGGTGGTGGGGCGCGGGGTGTTGGGCGGTGGGGTACGCCAACTCTAAGGCCTCACCGTTCATTGCTTCGTTGCTCCGTGCTCGGGAGCCACACGTCCGGTGCGTGGCGGCAAAGTCTGTGACCTCCCGTCGGGGCAGTTGCAGCATGCGCCCAGCGGTGGGCCCTCTGTGGATGGAGACATGGAGGCTAAAGATCCTCCCTTCGGGGAGCAAAAGGTGTTCCGCTGGCCGGAGCACCGCCCTTTCGAGGGCATCCCTTCCTTGTGAGGGGAATTTCTCTTCCGTGGAGTTGCTTGCCTTCGATAGTTATCGAGCGAGATCCTCCGCGGAAGAGAAGCACCCTGTCCTCTTCTTATTCATACACGAAACTATCTGGACAGGCGGAGCCCTCTAGGCCAGTACCTGCGACGAGTCACTTCGGAGTGTAAATATTTGCGACAGAGTTGCAGATCTAGAGGCACCGCGATAGACCTTGTCTTGGAGATGGAGACGACATTATTTGTGAACGAATACTGCGCAACTATGTAGAGGGTTGCACGAGTCAATCTCGTTCCCCTCCGTATGCCTGTGATCACAGTCCTGGTGTTGAAATCCATCCTATGTCTACCTAAAATATCTGTATACGCTAGATTTCGCTTTGGGCTCAGTTGGTGTGCCCTCCTTGCGTCCACATTCTCAGTTGCTTTACACAACAGAACTAGACGGACGACCTGCACGTCATCTCCCCGCTCGAACGCCAACACAAAGAAAAACGATCCTGACAAAATATACTCATTCTTTTCCGGGCTATTCGACAGCACCGTGACGTACGCGCACGATAGCACTGAGCTCAGCAGGCTCGAGGAGTTCCGTGATAAGCAGTAGACCATTTGAGTAGTGTAGCGCATATGCACACGAGTTCGGTTAGAAACCAGCACATCTATCATGGACGACTGGCCCAGAGTGGAGGAAGATTGCGACCGCGTCCGCGAACTCGACCTCAAGGGAGGTCCCCACTGGCCCGGCATCTCTCGGAAGGAGCAGAGAGGGAGATTCTGGACGTCGCGGAGGAGCTGCGCGCCGACTTCAGAGTGAACGCATATAGCTGGGCAAAAAGGCGCTATGTAAGCTGCTAAATCTTGAGGGAGATGAGGCAAGGTCGCGCGGCGGGGATTACGAGGGGTTGGAGCACTGGAGACCTTCTTGTGCATTGTGCGCATGGTCGACCAGTCATACACGTATGAGTTCACAGCCATGGGGGCTCTACCGTAGGCGGATCTCTTCGTCGGTCTTGCCGAGCTCGTCCGAGATGCTGGGGTACGGGACGTATTTCTGGGCCATCATGTTCAGGAAAACATTGCCCTATAATGAAACAGGCGAGAGCGGCTCTAAGGTACCAGACATGGGGTCATTATTTATCCCTCGAGAAAAGGTGAGGATGGCCGTGAACGTCCCGTCGCCGGGTGGGGTGAGTGCGACAAGAAGCACCTCGCCGGCGGCCTGCCACTATGTACTGCAAGTTCTTGAAGTCTGGAAATGAGACAGGAGGGTCCAAACACAGGACTGTGGTCTTGAATTCGGTGATGTGAAGGGATCCTGTCTCTGCACGACCAACCAGATTGAGGCGTCTAAGTTCCCTACGCTCGAGATTCTCCATAGATTAGCCCTGTCTGAAGCCCTTGTGATTTTTTACCTCCGCAAAAACCCAGCACAGGAGCTGCAATATCTCCACGACTGTAATGTGCGTCAATTTGGAGGCTAGTCATGACAGATTTGCTTACCGGGCAGATACTGACAAGCCCTCAAAACCTCGAGGAACATGCTCAATCCAAAGCGAAGCTGTGGCATCAAGTACTGTACAGCTCGTCTAAGCTTCCGAGACAACTGTGCAAACGCCATATCTGTTATCGATGAGATGAGACACGTTCTGAGACCTCACGATAGACCAGAGTGCGATGCCAGCATGCGAGGAGAGTCATGTGTTGCGCCCGATGAGTTTGTGCGAATTAGAGATGATGTCAGTCAGGTTCCCTTACTGTGATATATACCCAAGGTGATTTGCAGTATGTACCACAGGAAACATCCCTGCTGTCTACTCAGCGTCATCTCTCCGCTGTCAGTACGATGATGAGCGCAATAAGCAGGGTGTATACGTTATAGACGCCGAATCCTTGCCCTCGAAGTGTGCGATCGAGGGTACCAGTGTACCACTTCCTTGCAGATTCTAGCCATCCACTGTGCACACACCTTCATCATCAATTCGACCTCCCTCGACTTTCGCCAGCAGCGATACAGTACCTGTCGTTCTATACTCGGCAGCACGGGCCCCACACCTACGACGACCGCGAGAGCACCCGAACGCGACCCCGCGTAAGCTGATGCAGTTCGTTCCCAGCGCATGGCGTCCGAGGGGTGCCCTCCTCTAGGCTCTTCTCATTCTGACCACCGGACTCCATCGCCGCAGCTGCGTCGCAGTACATTCGTCCCCACTTGACCTCTGCTGGACACTCGATGGATTTCAATGCGTCGGTATCTAGTCCTAGCTCCCCGCTCGCGTATCACATGCCCACCTAGCTGGTCATGAGTCTCCCGCTGCCGACCACCGGGAAGGAGCCATTGCGTTCACAACCAACCACCGTTCTCGCCGCCCACGAGTGCTTGTGACCGAGCACTGAGTACTGATGGCTCGCGGTTTATCAAGATAGAATTTCCCTTCGGCTAAATGGTGCACCCTACAGTGACTCTGCGGCCGCCTCCTGTGGGACTGGCCCACTATCCCCACATATAACAGGCTCGGCACGAATTCTCGTCTTCATCTCCATCTCCCTTGGACTTCTGTCTTATCCATCTTCCCCTCTGCGCCCCGATCTCCATCACATACTCGTGCTCAATACCCTCTGCTACGATGTCCGCTGGCCTGAAACTCTTACCGCCTTTCCGCGCTGACCACATCGGCTCGCTAAAGCGCCCCGCGAAGCTCCTACAGAAGCGCAAGGAGCTTGACGAGGGCAAGGCGACGCTCGAGGAGCTTCGCCTCGTCGAGGACGAGGCGATACGGGAGATCGTCCAGTTGCAGCGCGAGGTCGGGATCAAGAGCATCACCGATGGCGAGTTCCGCAGGTGCGCTATCGGGTCCTTCCATTGCTCCATCTGTGTCTTTGGGAGGGAGCGGGTCCTGACGCCGCGGCGGCGCGCGCAGGCACATGTTCTTCGACGGGGTGTTCGACAACCTGGACGGGATGAAGTTCATCAAGCCTGGTGAGTCGCAGACCGTGTGGCCTGTCGTGACTTTTTCAGCCATCGGCCCCCGGTCGTTCACACCATATCGTGCTCTCGCCTCAACACAGTGCCTCCTGAGATGTTTATGGACTACGTGCCGGACATCGCCGCGTTCAAGGTGCACAACTTCAAGGGCGCGGACTCGTACATCTGCGTGGTGCGTGTTCTCTCGCTCCGGCGTTAGAAGCGCTCGCTAACCCCGCGGCGCGCGGCGAACGCAGAGCAAGCTCAAGCGGACGAAGCAGTTCTATGTACCCCAATACGAGGCACTCAAGGCGCTCACGGCCCCCGAGGTCTGTTGGAATCTCCGAAGCCGAACTTCAATTTCACACATGCTGATATTCCGCTCGCTTCGCGCCAGGAACACAAGAACCTCAAGATTACCATGGCGGCGCCCGAGTGGTTCCACCTCAGGCACGGCGAGTACGCGTACCCGAAGGATGTGTACAAGAACGACGGTGCGCGCTTTTTCTCTTAGCGTGAATCTCCGGGTTCTGATGAACAAACTGTTGCGCGCACGCACGTAGAGGAGTACTTCGACGACATCGCGCTTGCGTACCGCCAGGAGATCGCGGAGCTTTACGCAGCGGGCTGCCGGAACATCCAGTTCGACGACCCGCTACTCGCCTACTTTTGCGCTGAGTCCATGATCCGCGGCATGGAGGAACGCGGCGTCGACCACGTCGCCCTCCTCGACACGTACATTGCGACGTACAACAAGTTGCTCGCGGAGAAGCCCGCGGACATGACCGCCGGGCTGCACCTCTGCCGCGGAAACTTCAAGAACGGGATGCACTTCTCCGAGGGTGGATACGACCGGATCGCGATCAAGCTTTTCAGGGAGATCAATGTGGACTGCTATTATCTGGAATACGACACGCCGCGCGCGGGGACGTTCGAGCCGCTCCGGTGGCTGCCGCCGAACAAGTCCGTCGTTCTGGGGCTGATCACGTCGAAGTTCCCGCAGCTGGAGGACCAGGAGGACTTGATCAAGCGGGTGCACAACGCGGCGAACATCATCGCGGACGGGGAGGAGAAGCGCTCGTTTGAGGAGGCGTTGAACCAGTGCGCATGCTCCTTTGCTTGCGGGCTTTGTGTTGGGTTTCGGGACGTGTGCTGACGTACTTGTGCGGTGCGACAGGATTTGCATTAGCCCGCAGTGCGGATTCGCGTCGCACGCGGAAGGGAACCTCGTCGACGAAGCCGGCATGCGCGCGAAGCTGTCACTGGTCGTACAGACCGCCAAGAAGCTCTGGAAAGACGCATGAGATTCTTCATACGACTTGCAGGAAGCTGAGATGTTGCGAGTCTAGGGTGTCAATGGGTACAGATCCTGCTCTGTTGTGCAGCATGACTCAACCCAGTGTGTATCAGTAGTAGTGGAATGTGTCAAAATACCAGTGTACATGCTTCCTGTGCAATGTGATGAGTTGTCGCCCTTCGTTCACGCCGCACGCGGTGGCACGTGATGAGACGCGAACTAGCGCACAGACGCGTCGTCGCGCCTGCAGTTCTTGCCCTTCCTCCTCTTGACGTCTTACCCCCAACCTGAACGGAATCTTTCAGCCTGATTATATCAGACGATATTCTCAATCCTATGTTGATCCCCATCAACATCGACTTACCGGGTCCCTCCACTCCTCGACGCCCGAACCTGCCTCCCCAACTGATCCAGTTCGGCACGGACGAGCTTATCCTCATCGAACTTCAGGGCTCGCTGGAAGTAGAGGGGAACAGGGATGGTCAGCTTGTGGGCAAGCTTCTAGTGGACGCGGTGACCGTGAGTCATCTGTAGTGAAAATTGGCCCACGGCGACGCTGAGCCAGAAACGCCGTGGACGCAGAAGAAGCCCACGCTGGTGATAGGCCACCATCTCTTGGAAGGGAAGATGGTGAGCCTCAACAAGCCTCTAGCTGTTCTACATCGACACGACGCCCGGGCCTCGCATGACGGCGCTGACGAGGACGCGTCGATGGACGTGGATGGGCCTCTCAAGGGCGGGGAGGCGAAGAGCTGGGACATGATCGCGATCGTGAAAAGGAAGATGGTGTTCTCAAAACGGCCCATGCCCATCGCAAGCAGCACAAAGGGAATTACGACACCGTTGTCGCGAATAGGGAGCAAACCGTGATTGGCTGGATTTTCAGAGTTAACGTGTATCTATAGTAAGTGCGCCTTTCGTTTTGACATTGTGCTGTACTGACGTCGCTCTTTCTGCTCAGTGATGTTGTACCTCATCTACCTGATATGATTGCGTCTTGTTCACTGCGCATCTGCGTACTGAATGCAAGTCGGGTCTCGACTGGGTTGCTCCACATTTACGACGGCCTGCCACTGAGCCTATAGCAACGCGCTTGGGACATCGTTTTACGATACGAGTGTAGAGTCTCAGAACCAAACGGCCACTCCTCTGGTGAGCCCACTTGTCTTGCGTAGGGCTATCCTTCCGCATCAGTGTACCAGGCGTATTCCTGAGCGAGCCGTTGATCAAGGTGGTCGTTCTCTCACTGCTGTATACCGATGCACTCTTCACACCGGAACTAATGGGGAATTCTATTGTCAGGGCTCACCGTGCAAGGTTCTGTCTACAAGGTCCCAGTCAGAGGTTCACACTGCCTCGTTTACGCCACGACACCGCCACGTGAGAACGCGTACGAGCGCTGTTTATACACCTTCTATCGCGATCCCCGTGCAGCGCTATCCTATCCTTGTCTCCCAACCAACACGTTCACCCGCAATGGCCAGCGCTGAGGACGATGCCGCCTACAATATCTATAGCAGACAGCTCTTCCCCATGCGCCATGGGTACCCGCTGTGGCACCCAGAGATCGAGCGCGGGAAGGGCCTTGAGATGCGGATCGGAGACGTTGGGTACCTGAAAGGAGGGGCCTTCTTCCGTATCTTCAACGCCACTCTCCCCAGCGATCATCAAGACCACAGTGCATACGGTACCCCTGACAATCACGAGCCCTTCAGGATCAAGCCAATCCTCATACACACGCATGACGTTATCGAGTCTCATCTATGCAGCCGCAGTGTGCTTTCTTACGATTATGAGGGCAGCATCACTACGTGAGTCCATATTTCAATGCACCCAAGTGGCACGAGCTGATAACGAGCGCCCTGCCCTTTGGCCCGTCTTGATACAGCGTTGCGACTCCCGTCGGCGCAGGCATGAAATTCCATTGCTCACAGGAACAGGGTGCGTTCGTCTTCATGAACGTCGCCGCTGAGAAGACGATGATGCACGCCACCACCAAGCTCGCGCCCTTCATGCGGAACAACATCGACAAGTGGCACGACTTCGTCACGGGCACACACAGCCTGGACATCTCCAAGGAAGAGATCGTATTCGTTTCTGGGGTGGTCAAGACGGAGGACTGGGGCCTGGGGGCGTTCATGAACCAGGCGAAGGGTGGCGCCGTGGCGTTCTCGGCGCAGGTTCCGTTCTGCCAGGGCGCGTTCTCAGTGCAGATGGAGAAAGGGCGGGCGATGAACGTGCAGATGCGTACGAAGCCGAAGCCCAGCAATGCGAGCTTCGTGTCGAGGCCGAACTTGCTTCTGGAGAGTGCGGGGGGCTCCAAGGCTTCGGCCGCGTCTTCATCGCAGGGATACAGCGGGGTGGTCCCGGGCGAGTGCAAGAAGAATCAGACGTTGTTCTTTCACTACTACAAGATCAAGAATCGGCTTTGGTTTCGTAAGGGGGTGTTCCAGGCTGCAGCCGGGCCGGATGAGCGGGACCCTGATCACACAGGCGACGGCGAGGATGTCGCTCTCCTCTCGCAGCACAACGAAGAATGGGACGTTGTGGAGGAACCACCTATTGACGAGGTCAGTCCCATGATGTTGTTGAGAGGCGAAATGCTCATTTGGGCCCACTGCAGTCTTACGACCCCGTCGACTACCTTCTCGACTACATCCTGGCTTATCCAATGGAGGTCGGTGGCTATTCATCTGTCGTTTCAGTGTTCGAGTGCTCACTATTTGTAGGACGGTTCAGAAGTGCCGATCGCCATAGCTAGCGACTTGCACATATATGCTCTTTTTGTGAGTTGCTTGTTATCATAACTTCGTCTATCCGCTTATCGGACTGTAGGAAGGCGAGGTTCCGTTAGACATCAAAGGTGCTCTCAAAGAATTGCTTCCGCCAGTGATGTTCGTCGACGATGACCGACAAGGTACGAGAGACCATACATCTTCGACGTTCAGCAGTGACCGCTTGTCTAGTCGCTTGCGTTGCTGTCGCAGAGTGGGCCGAGGATATCCCGGACAGCGATATCGTCTCCAGCAAAGGTTAGTGAGCTGGTACGGTATGGGACTAGGCACGCTGATCTGATTGCTCGCGCTAGCCGCTGGAAAGCAAAAGAGCGATCTTCCCGCCCCAGACGACCCCGGATCACAAGAACGACCTCCGGCGGAGGGTGATGATCCGAAGCCGGAAGGCGAAGACAAAGATGCGCAACCTTCGAACAGCGAGGATCCACAAGCCAACCCTCCCGTGACCTTACATGAGCATACTGGTGGCGTCACCTGCGTCTCATTCTCTCCTGATGGCCGATACATCGCCAGTGGCTCCGAGGATACGACCGTCATTCTCCGCGACGGGACAACAGGTGCCCTCATCCAGAGACTCACCGATAATAACGAGCCTGTATGGGCTCTCGCCTTCTCTCCTGACAGCACTCGTCTGTGCACTGGCGCCAATAATGGTATGGCCCTAATTTGGGACGTCGAGGCGCGCTCCGTGGTCACCGTACTCGACGGCCACACCGGCCTAGTGCAGACAATCGCCTACTCCCCGGACGGCCAGAAGATTGTCACGTCCTCTGTCGACTTCAGTGCACGCGTCTGGGATGCGACGACCGGCACGCTCATTCACAAATACGAGGACCACGGCGCAGTCGTCATGTCAGCCATCTTCTCACCTGATGGCCTGTGGGTGGCGACTTGTGGCGCAGACTACAGTGCGAAGATATGGCACGCCGAGAACGGCACGCTCCATCACTCGCTCGATGCACACAAGGGCGTCGTCTGGTCAATCGGGTTCTCCCCCGACAGCCGCCGCCTGATCACAGGTTCGGATGACATGACGAGTCGTATCTGGCGGGTCACGGATGGCGAAGAGCTCGTGATCCTGCACGAGCACCAGGGACCTGTCTGGGCCGTCAGGTTCTCCTCCAACGGCAAGTACATTCTGTCGGCATCGAATGACGCCACGATCAAGGTGTGCGACTCGTTCACGGGCGAGCGCAAGCATGTGTTCAACAGGCACGACACGCTTGTGAACGCGGCGGTGTTCTCGCCCGATGGGAAGTGGATCGCGTCGAGTGCAAGCAATAACGTGGTGATGGTGTGGAACACGGAGACGGGCAAAAACTTGCCTGTGATGGAAGGGCACCTTGACAAGGTGACTGGGTTGCAGTTCTCTCCCGATGGAGAGAGGCTTGTGTCGTGCTCGGATGATGGTAGTGTGCGTATCTGGACGCTGCCAGATAATGCGGATGGGATTCTAGAACTCGTCCCTGCGCCAGAGACAGTGCAGCAATGAGTAGCCGTGCAGAATTCCTTCGTGTCGTTTTTCTTCGTCATAGCTAGCCTGCCAGTGCGTTCACTTCGATCCGGAAGGATAACTACCCCATGTATTGAATACCAATCACCATACCCCGGAGGCATGCTTTGCGAGGTGTGGGGTGGTAGAGCTTGTGGAGCTGTCATAGCCATGCGCCGCTTATGACCATGTGCGTGCTGAAGTATATATTTCACCGGGCTGGTCAGTCTTGAGTTGATAAGGGTGTGAGAGCACAGTTTCGGGCTGCATCGGTAGAGAATCCGCAATCCTCTCTATGGACAGATCGACGGAGCAGAATATTGCAAATTCTTGTCTTCATAGCCTAGGAGATGACAAGAGAGATACCGTGGTGAGTAGTACACGGTATTGAAAGCGCCCGGAGTGAACGGCAAATGCCATTCCCACGCATCACTCAACGCTGATTGGTCCACGGGGTAGCATGGGGACTTGCCAGAGAGCCGACTTGCAACGTATTAAATGCTCTTCGGATACTCATGCACATGTACAAGGCTCTCTCAATTTCCTCTTCAATATGCTATGAGATAGTCCACTCAAACCAGACAGTCCCTCAGTGCAAAGCGATTGCGGGGCGGGAGCTTGTTGTCGTTGATGCCCGGGCCTCGCAGTGTCTGCTACGACGCGCCCTGTATTTGGCGTGTTGCACAGGGCTCCTTGATTCCGGTGAGTGGTCTTGCTCCTGTATCACAATGCTGCAATGTCATACATTGCGTTCCAACGAGGCATATATTAGCGTTGCCCATCAATGCCCGATATAAGCGGGCGAGGCGAACCCGCAGTGAGAACACAAAGGCATAGTCTCGATCAATGCATATCTCGATCATTTCCGCGGCAATCGAGTTGTGTCAGTGGCACCACAAAGTTACACAACGACTAGGTTCCTTCCCCGCCCATCCGCAATATCGTGCTCTCCCTCGATGGTCGCTATCGCCTGCACAATGACCTCCAGATGTCTGGGAGCGCTCATGCCGAACGAATGTCGATCCGTGGCAGCAATTGCATCTCCCACGCGCGTGCGGCATCAAGGGCTTCGCAATGACCTCAACGCTTTGTGAGCGACCATTCCATTTGAATTGGAATATGATATCGGAGCCGCGTTCATTTGGTGCGGCGCTGCGTAATGCTACTCGATGCGTCGATCGCAAATAATCTAAGGCCTGGGATCCGAGATCCCGGTCGGAGGATCGCATGCAAGGATTGGAAATGAGGGAACGAAGTAGGTCATTTTGTGCCACTGGATATTCTCCGCTCTGATTTATGGCCGGTACCATGCCCGTCTACAGCCTCTGGAGACACGACGTAGCGCATCAGACCTGGGTTTGCAACGAAGTCTCCGCCTACCGGTCCTGCCCGAGTCCTTTATGTGCTCCCGTTGGGGTTGGAAGCCTGACCTCGTCGTATCCCGCACAATCCAGGACCGCGGAGCACGCCTTGGGTTGATCCTCGGCTGTCGTCATGTATCCTGGCCGATCCATCTCGACGTGTTGTATCGCTGCGGTTGGTGGGCTCGGATTTGGAAGATGATTCTAGCAACCTTCTCGACACACCGCTGGGCATTCATGATCGACGCAGTCCCTCTCTCCGGCAGCAGTTGCTAAGCCAAGGCATGTTGTCACCCGACCCGCCGGGGCGGCCGGGAGCCGCCCATAATATTTCATGTCTACACCATGCTGCTCCATCCATGTCAAGTCATCGATGAGAGCCCCTTATCTCAGCGGCGATAGTCAAACGTACGATGAGGGAAGCGGAGGACTAGTGCACCGGGTCGTGTTGGCACGTTGTCCAGTGGCCGATCGGTGCGGGGCGGACACCCAAGCTTGCGACCGCCTCATACGAGGCTCCGTTCTTCGCATGGGGAAGTAGACTCGGTGACAGGGCAATCCATTCTGCCTCTCCATGCATCACGCAAATGATCCACGGTCTGATCAAGTTTGGCGTTCGGAACGACAGACAAATTTCGAAAGCATGCACGGTCGCAGACATGAGGCGCGGGCATTTGACATGCACTTGGATTGACCTAGACCGGGGGAACGAACGCACATGACAGCGATAGCAATACGACAAGCGACGAGCGAGATACAGGATCATGGTACGAACTTGCACAACAACACGGGTTACAGCATACGGTGAAAGTACGGAAATCAAAGTCGAAAAACGATGAGCCCACGTCCGACACCAGCGACCTCATACCGGTCGACATTAAGGGACTAGCTGACTCAGAGTCCACAATCGACGCGCGGCACGAACCAGGATTAGGCTCGGGCCTAGCAACCAGCGCGGCGGAGGCGACGAACTGCCGCAGCGTTCACCCATCCTCCGGATCGTCCTCCAGCACCGTCCAGCCCGGATGCGGTTGGACGTGCTCGCGCAAGTCCTGGAACGCAGGCCGCAGCCTCGGCGTCGCCCCAGGGCCCCGTCCCGCACTGCACCCGCACCCAGGCACGTCGCACGCCTGCCCGCCCGCCTTCGCCTCCCCGTCGGTCATCGCGCCGCCGCCGTCAGACGCGGCCGACAGACGGTGCGGACGGGTCCTGGGCGAGGGGTACGGCCGCACCCTGCGCGACTCGGGGGACGACTCCGCACGCGGCCGGCGACGATCGTGCACCGTGCTGCTGGCAGTGGCAGACGCGCGCTCGCCCCTGACGTACGATTCCTGGCTCGCGGTGGGGGCGTGCAGCTCGTGCTCGCCATCAAGCTCCTCTGGCTCGTAGTCTTCGTAATCGTCCGCGGACCACGCGGGAGACGCGCGCTCGCGCTTGGGCGCCTTGTCGCCGTCGCCGTCGTGCGCGTGCGGTTGGGGCTGGTAGTAGCCGTGCGGGTGCTGCGCGTACGACAGGCGCGAGGGCGAAGAGGGGCGGAAGGAGCTCGCGGGGAGGCTGCGCGGCGTCGGCGGGAAGGGGGACGTGACGGCCGAGACGGGCGAGGGGAGCGGAGAGGGAGAGGGCGACGGAACGGGCGAGGGGGAATAGGACGCAGAGCGCGACGGCGAGCGCGAGCCGGAGCCGTACCCGGACACGGGCGTCGACCCTGCGCGGGTGCCCAGGGTTTGCATCTGCGGCTGCGGGTGGTGGTGCATCGGTCCGAGTGGGTGGGCATCCGGAGAGTGCCCGTGCAAGGGAGCTCCGTACATCGGCGGGGGCAGCTGCGAGAGTTGGGATGGGGTGCGCGCCATGCTCGCCGCACCGGACGGAGGCTGAACCATGCGCGCGACGACGTCGCGGCGGCGCGCGGTGAGGTGGTTCCGGTAGTGCCTCCGCATATTGGAGTTCACGTTGAACTTGCGGTTGCAGCCCGGATAAGCGCACGTGAACGCTATTCGTCCGAATGCAGGCCAAGATTGGAGGCGGCACAGAGAGTAAGTACGTCAGTGTCCGTTCTCTATGGAACGCCATGATCTGCACGCACGTTTGGCTCCGGTGTGGGTGTTCACGTGTATGGCGAGGCTGCTCGGCCGGTTGAAGCGTTTGCTGCAGTGCGGGCAGCAGTGTCTGCGCTCGTTGTCGTCTGACGCGCTTGCATTTGCGCTCGCCTTCCCCCGTCCGACCGCAGCGGAAGAGGTGGGCATGTCAGATGCGCTGGGTGCGTCGGCGTACTGCGGCTTCGCTCTCACAGAAGTGCCAGAAGGGATCTGCGGATGATACACGGGGGGCGCTCTCACGGACGAGGGTTCGTGGTACCCCCCTCTGCTACGCGCATCCGGAGTTCTCGACGCAGCATCGAAGCCGAGTCTGCTTTGGCCATGGGAATATGCGAGATGGTGGTGGTGGTGGTGCTGCTGCTGTTGCTGCGTGTACGGCCAGGGCCACGCGCTGGTTACCGCAGACACCACTTCGTCCGCGGGGCTTCTGAAGAGGCTAGAGCTGGCGGCCGGATGGATGCTCGTTGAGTTTAATATGTGGGAGGGCCCGGCCGCTGCGGGCGCTGGGCCGCCACGAGGGAGAGTGTGCTGCAGTGACGCATGGACGTGTGGCGGTGAGATTTGCGCGGAAGACGAAGCAGGCTGATTGCAGCACCCCGACGTGCACGGGATCCCGGACGTGCTGGTGGACGTCGGCGGTGGCGTGTTCCCGCGTGGGTGCGACCTGCCGGGGAGGACGGGGGATTGTCGCGGGAATGAGTGCGAGTCAAGCGGGGGGTTCGGTCGCGACTTGGGAGAGCGAAAGGTGAGCTCGAGATCGACGGTGCAAGGTGTAGGCCTTACCTGTGTGGAGAGAGGCTGGAAGGAGGTCGATGGTTGGTTGTGTTGGGGGAGTGAGCCGCGGAAGAGGTCCTCTGTGGCTGGGATTAGACGCGTGGGCAGGAGGATGAGTGGCTCGCTTGCCTGGGAACAGCTCGTTTAGGCTCGGAAGGCCCTTCTCATCAGACGCGGTGGAGGAGTTGGGGGAGAGGGGGGGCGAGGAGCGCGTGTGGGCCATGAGGAGAGGGTAGGCAGGGGGATGATGCGACGGAGTGGGAGGGGGGGGCCCGGGGTGTATATGTACAGCTGGGGAGCGGCGGTCGTGCGCTCTGCGGAAACAGAAAGGGAGGGGAGTGACGACTGAGGGAGGTATTATAGGCTCTCGCCCCCGGGGAGACGCCGCGCGACGGGGAGCGCGAGGAACGCCGGGCTGGATATGGGCGATGGAATATGGAAAGCGATTGTCTCGTTCGAGATCTTCCCTTCCCTCTCCCATCCCCGCGCCTAGCCCTCCGCATCCGCACCCACAGCTGCAGATGCCGTACTACTCCAGCCCATTTTTTTCTCGTCTTTCTACCGGCCCTGCACGCACGCGAGAGACGCCACGGCTTCGCTACCGTAGCTGCTTCGGCCTCTGCGCCCGCCCAGACCTCCAGCTGCATTCCCAGCCAGCATCAACGCCGGACGGGTTTCACTAGTTTGCATTCGCCCCGCCGCACGCGGATTTCCCCCCCCCCCAGTCACCTGTTGACCGTAAATGCCCGTCTGGCTGGCGTCAGTTTGGATTCGCGCTCATCCGCGCTGGACCCGCATATCGCGATAGGCGGTCCACACTCGTGCTGCGAAAATCCGAGTGTGGCCGCTAGAACTCGCCCACATCCGGCGGTGGGTGGATGTGGCCCGTCTTCGGTGGATTGTCCAGAATGCGATGAGCGCCGTTTCGACGTCGATGCGCGCTGCTCGTCCGTCGCCCTCTCACCGCGAGCGGCCGCACACACCGACCAGCTCTGCAGCTGTGCGCGTGCGTGCGTGCGTGCGTGCGTGCGTGCGAGGCCAGTGCCAGTGCCAGTGCCATCGCGGGCTCGGACCCCATCATCGCTCGTCAAGAACTGATCTGCGCCCGCCGGCGTGCAGGACTCACGCTGCCATATACGGCACATGGCCTATGCTCCGGACTGACGATCTCGCTCTTCCTGATATCGCCCATCGCCCGCCGCACATCTTGCGCCTCGCATCAGCTTGTCCACAGTTGAAGCCAACGCAGCCTCCAAGCCCTCCACACCGGGCTGATCGTGCACTCCACCATCCGCGGTCGGGCGCGAGTCCGAGCGGCGAGCCCGCCTCCGGTGCAAGGAGGTCTGTCGCCCGGCGCGATCAGACAGACGAGCCCCTCTCCGCCCGGCAGCTCGCTCGCGAACCGTCACATTCGCGTTCCCGCTGTGGTTGCGAATGTGGGTCCGCGCGAACGATGGAAGCCGGCCAGCGTCATGTCTCTGGAAACCGCGCCATCGCACCTGCTGCTGGCGCTCCCCGCGGTCGTGATTCTCCCGATCGGAGGAGAGGAGGAGGAGGAGGAGGAGTGCGTGCCACGAGCCCGATGGGAAGCGTGGAACGCACACGTCGAGACCGCAGAGACGAGGGACGTCAGTCGGCGGTCGTCGCAGCTGTTGGCTTTGTGTCCCGGCGTTCTTGTTGGGTCGCCGTTGAATGCGAATGGGGGATTGGACACACGCATCCTCCGACACCGTCGCGGAGCGTACGAGATTCGGGCGGACAGGGAAGTGTTGTGGGAGTCTGCAGAGGGCTTGCGGCGCTGCGGATGTCAGTGGCGGCAGATGGCCCCGGGCTTGACCGTGCCACCGCGGCGGCAGGTGTCGTGCTCCGTGCGGCATCCCAAGGCGCGTCTCTGTGTCGAAATACAAGGATGCCTCGATATACACCCCCCGCGAGCGATGCGCACATCACACATCACATCATGTCTGGCCATCCCAAACAGAACCGCCGTAGATTCGAGCGATGCAAGAAATGATAGGATTCCACGACTGCGCAGATGCATCGCGAACGCATAGGAGAGTTCAGGACGCGACTGCAGCAAACACTCAGTACTACGAGGACCGCAGCAGCAGCTTGCCGCACACTCCCCGCGTCCGCCGAGGCCGGCCGGGAGGAGCCAATCTCGACTGGGACGTGCGAGTCTGCGACAGCACGGGGCGCGGATCGCGCCCGCGCTGCGGCCCTCTGATCATGCGGCCCCGCGAGCCCGGTCTCGAGGCATGGAGAGGGCCTGTCGCGCGAGCGTGGCGGGCCGCGGGCGACCGACGGGCGCCCCTGGGCTGACGTGCTGCCAGTGTGGCAAGGATGAGGAAGGCGAGCCTGTTTGGCAGCGCGATCGCGTCCTTGCCCTGCGCCGCGACGGTCGCGAGGAGAACGGCTTGTGTTCTCGTTCTGGAGGCGGGCGCGAGCACATTGGGAGGGTTCGATGACGGAGTTGGGATAGAAGACGTGGGGTGCGCGCGCGCGCGCATGGATGGCTGGAGGTTCGGCGGGCCAGAAGCGTAAATGCACCTAACAGAACGCGCGCTAGTATGTGATTGAGAAGGTGGCCAGGGGACGTCCGGGGCCAGTATGGATATTCGGCTGAGGTAGGTTATGCCGAGCCCCACGTAAAGGAGAATATGGGTTTGTGGGAAGATGGGGGGACGAATGGGGAGCGTGCAGCGCCTGGGGGTCCCCGGATGGTCTAGAGCTCGTGAGTACGTGTCGTGTCGTGTCAAGTGAGTGAGCGAGGATTGTCGCTGATCGTCATCGTCATCTGCTTGTATGTAAAGTACGTACGTACACGGGCCTCTGCCCGATCGGCTCACACCTTGGGAACGCGATCCTCGTCTGCTTCTCCCGCCACTAGTCCTCCACTGCGTCACGCCCCTCCTCCCTCCGTTTCCCCAAGCTCCGACCGGCCCTCGGCCTATTGCACACGTCCTTTATTGCACACGTATGTTTTATTGCACCCACAGCGGATTTCCGATATCACATCGTGATTCTCCTGCGCACATGCAGTCGTCCGTCACTCGTGGATCCACGCCGCGCTCGGCAACACCCACCACTCCCGCGCGCGCGCGCAGGGCGCAGAACCCCTCGTGAGCGTCGAATGGCCAAATAGCCACTTCCCGCCGCCGTGCCGCCGCCGTCGCCGCCTACCGTCTCGGAGGGACCCTCTCTCAGCCGCGCGACCGTTCTCAGGCGTGCGCTCACACACGCACTTCCCCGCCGCGCCCCCTCCTCGAACCGACGGCACAGGATTAGGCAGGGTGACATCCGGCATCTGCGGTACGACGTCGGACCATCCATCATCCATGCCTGCTGCCTGCCCAGATCGAGCGCGGGGCAATCGGGATGACAATGTTAATGGGGCGATTGGACACAGACGCTCGTACATGCTGATTGTCCAGAGCGATGGTGATGGGGGTACCGTCGATGCAGCTGGGGTTGCCAGGCCCACTCCGCCGCCCTGGAAGCCTGTCGACGGTGCGTGAATCAACCAGGTTCGTGCAACGCCGCGCGGCCGGCAACCTAGGCCACCAGAAAATTCAGGGCGGCGCGACCTTTGAAGGCAGTCTCGTTCCCTCTTCGGGCGCGGGGAAGGGGCACGGGTTTGGATGCGGCGTGGCTGCCGTGCAAGTGCACACCGCCGTTGCGCAGCTCGATATCTCTGCCTTCCCCGTGTAGACAGTCCATGCATTTTATGCCTGCCATGAGGCGCGGCCTCGACGGGCAATGAACGGGATCTAGAAAAAAAAAAAGTGCACACCGCTCGGTGTCGTTCGGTGTGCACGCGTGCATGCATCGAATATACTGATTACGCCTGTTTCTTGGTTAAGGTATGCAGCTCGGGCTCGAGCGATGTGTGTCCGGGCAGAACGCGACGCGGCATGGCGCATGTTTGGGAGAGGGGCACGCATGCCTGGGGTCGAGGAATCTCCGGATCGGCGCCCAGGATCGACTTCTCGTGCGGCTGACGAGCAGAAGATCGCCCGCGCCGCTCGCAGTGCGTGTCTCGCACTCGGGGCGAGGCACGAGTAGGGCTGAAAGAGAGCAGTCGTAACGGCACTCACGAAATAGGAGACCTGTACAGGGCTGCCTGATAGCCCGCGGATCCAGAGCGCGCACGCCCTAACAGCACGCGGGGATGTGCGAGATGGGGAGCGAGCATAGGAGCGCGCGAGGAGGGGATTAGCGGGGGGCGTGGCGCGACGCGGCGGTGGTGCGGACCGAGGGGAGGAGAGGAAAGCGTATCGTCGTATCGCACTGCCGCGAGGGCGCGCGGGCGCGCGAGCCCGCGCCGAGTGCTGAGAAGGGCGACGGAACACGCGGACGCAGGCACGGATGTGGGTCGATGGACGGACGTGCACGACGCGAGGGGCTGGGGCTGCGAGCGTTGAGCGGCGGTATGGAACGTCGGGCACGTCGATGCAGGGAAGGATTTGCAGGGGCTAGCGCCCGGTCTGGATCTGCTACTCGCCTGCACACTGGCTGGGGACTGGACGTGCGCGACTGGTCACCGGCCCCGGCCGGGCTGGCGGTGTCCTCGGACGGACGCGGAGTCGCTCGTAGCTGGAAGGTCGCTCGGGGTGCGGATCCTATAATCCACACGCAGTCGTAATTGGGTGGATGTGACTCCAGGCCTGGAAGCGGGAGGTCGCTGTCTGCGATGACAACTGCACTAGGTCGGAATGGGCCCTAGGTCCAAGCGGGCGATACCTGTCGACGAGTCTGCAACTGAGGCCGATGGGCAATTGAATGCTCCCGCGCGCAGATCATCATCTGTCATCGGCGCGCCATAAACATAGCACATACTGTATAAGCAGCCCGCCGGGCCCCACCTGCAGCTGTCTTCCGTCCTCGTCTTCCGTCTTGTATGTTCAGCCTTCCGCATCTTGGTGTGCGTACTCAAATTGCCTTCGGGGTGCCCTTCGCTCTGTTCGCGTCTTCTCCGGCCTTCCGGTGTGTGTGTGTGGGAGCGGCGGCGGCGGAGGGCGTCACCAGATCATCTCGCAGAAGGTGATTCGGTTTGCGAACGTGGCGGGATGACGGTAGGTAGCTGGCGATAACCCTGTGCCCGACAGTAGCTGTACTCGTAGCAGTAGCTGTATTTGGGTTATCGCAGAAGCTTCCCGCCCGTCAGTCGACCGCGGCCGTACTAGGGCTGGGAGAGTTGTTCTTGCGAGGGTTACAGGCACGACGCCTGATCATCTCGAGGGCGGTGACATGCACGTCTCCTGTTTCCTGGTGATGTTCTTCTGTGCGGGCGGAGGGGCCGTAGTGGGCAAATGTCCTGCACGTTCGCGCTGCGAGAGCGGTGGCCCACGGACGCTCGGGATAAGCAGAGCGCGGATGACGGTATCCGAGGAGAGATAGTGCGTATCGGGCGAAGGGAAACACACACAGACGCGGGATGCTGTGCCCAGAAGAAGGTGGCCGGCGGCGCGAGGAGGCGAGCAGAACGGCCGGCGTGAGCGATAGCAATGCCACGAAGCCTGGATCGGAGCCTGTGGGAGTCACCCGTACGGGGAGGGCAGCGACCAAATGGGTGAAGGTGGGGACCTGCGACAATTCGAGGAACTACTCCACCTTCCAGACCAGCTCGGACGCGGTAACCTTCACGCTTCCAGAAGGGGGAGGTGCGGTTGGGCGAATGCGGAGACTGTGCGGTGTGCCTCCGTCGACGTCGGCGGAATATCTTGCGGAGGATCCGCGTCGGCTGCTGCGCATGCGCAGAGGTGGAGTCGGGGGCGAGCAAGCGTGGCGCGAACGAAGGGGCGGGAGAATGGCCACGCTCACCTGCTATCTCAGAGCATAGCTCGCGGGCGGAAATCGGACGCGACGTCCATGTCCGCCCCCCGGTAACGGGGAGAACGAGCGCATGGGGAAGCTCGTGGACGTCCGCCTTCGCAGGGCCAGGGTGCAGGCGCGAATTGCAATTGGTCGGCCAAGTCGCCGCGCCGCTGAGCTGAACCTATTCGCAGGCGGCAGCTGCGTCATAGCGAGTCACGGCCGCGGGCTTTCTGGTAGAGTTAGCGTTCGTGCGAGACATCTCGCCACCGAACCAACGAACCACATACGGTCTCACGGTACACCCATGTCAGATAAGCTGGCTCGCCTAGCTTGAGGAGCGGGAGGCCAATTCCCTGGCGGCTGCGCGCGCACAAGTCGAGTTGCCCTCATGATGCCGTGGTGGATAAGACCCAGGGAGCGTTTCTGTGAAGTCGGCGCATGATCATCGTCGCTGCCAGTTGTACGAGCAAGTGCCTGCTCGCCTCCGGTCACCGGGCAGTCCTGGATCACATGTATATTCGAAGGAAACATTTTCAATGGAGGATGTAGTGGGAGAGCCGAATAGTAGTGGTGACGATGGATCCCCAGCAGATCATCGAACATAGATCCTGGATGCTACCGCTGGCAGCGGCGTCTGTGCTGTCTGAAATCTGTGGGCGAATGGAATATAGAATAATGAGGAGAAGCGCGAGACTGCTCAAGATGGAGGCCCCGCGCGAGCACATGCCACAGTATTGTTCCGAGGCGTTTCGCATCAGGACGCATGCAATCCACGACAGCTGAGGCTGTCATCTGTGCTGATGCGTGGCCACGAATAGGGTTTGCATTGCAAGCTGCCCTGGGCACAGCGAGTCCAAGCATTCTGCGTTGGAAGACAGATGAATGGAGACGTGGACAGGCGAGATGGACGATCATCGAGTCATCAAGCAGGAGTGTCGAATTGCGTTGTGTCCCGAGACGACGCGAATCGAGGCTAGGCAGAGGCCACACGGGCACCCCACAACAGACGGCTAGCGATGTCAACGCGGTGACAAGGCATATTACGACGGTGGCTCGTATGGCAAAACTCGCTTGAGCCCATCCTCGCCTCCGTCGTTCGCGTAGCGACATTGACTAGATTGACCAGCGCCACCTGCGGGTCGAGGTCCTGCATTGCACATGGTACAGAACACGGCATATCGACAAGACAGAAGGGCGTTGCACGAGTCTATGAACGTCTGAATGGAGTCCGCCCTCCCAGCCTGTCACGCTAATCCTTCCCGCGGTTGTCGTGTTTTATTAATTGCCGCCTAGAGCTGACTCGACAGTCGGATCTCGTCCCGGACAATCCATAAAGATGTCAGGCGGGTGAAATGAAGCCTGAAAGGCCTGCCGTTGCTGGCCGTATCTGTCCATGAGCCTTCCCGAATGGTGATCCTCATGTCTCACCTGCCTATGCGAGCCGCAGGGTCGTGGAGTGCGAGGGAAGCGACCTCTGCTACTACGTCAAGACAGGGGGACAAAAGCAAGGGGGCAGTAAACCGGCGATGCCGGGCAGGGCGTGTGCGCACTAGGTCCCTTGCAAGAGCGAGTGTGCACAAGGTTCTGCCAAAACGAGCGACAGCCGACGGCAGGGCCGCATGTAAATAGTCGATGACAGCTGCATGGTTGGGCTCTGGGAAGAGGTAGTGGTCGTAACTCGTGATCTCTCGTGTGCGGGGCTTCAGTCATATCTACGCTCTGTGCGTGGTCTGGTACGCGTGTGGCCTTGCCGCGAGGATGGGCAGCATAGACATAGACAATATGTGCAGAGACAATAGGAGATATGTGAGACGGATTACCGGCGAGGTGGGGAGCGAATGACTGGCGCGAAGTACGTCCAAGCGATCTACAGGCCCAGCTGCATCAGCGAGAGGCGAGCATCGACGCGCCTGGGTTCACGCCACATTCTAGAGGTATTGACATCGCCTTTGATGGGCAGTATGGACGCCGGAGGAACGCCGCCGTCGCATGCGCCCTGACGGGATGCGTGTAAAAGACGGCAACGAGAACAACGACTTGGACGTAGTGCCAGTGCAAGAATCGATGGGAGGCGAGTAGCAGATGGAGGTGCCAATTAATGGAGGCTTACCCGAAGGTGGATTCGCATGCTATCGTGTTGATGCCATTGATAGGGGCGACGTGGGCTATCAAATGTCCAGTGCAAATGGCGTCACGGAGAGCTTAGGGAAATGTAGACACGAGGACAGGGGGGAACGGAGGCAGGCCAGGGACCGTTGGGTTGGACGAGGACACGGCGGTGGAGGCGATTGAGAGGACGAGCCGTCAGGAGAAGCGCCGCCAACGGGATCCGCGCTCGGCACGGCAATTTGTTTGTATAACCGGGATCTCGATCTCCCTCGCACACGGCGCCCGATGCCTCCCGCGGGCAACACGTGTCCATCCAGTACCACTCCGCGAGGCCTCCCACTCCAGTCCCCCCTCCCGCTGTGGCCATTGGCCAGTAGCTTGTTCACACTCAGGCTCAAGCTCATTCCTATTCATCTTGCTCCTGCATAACGTCGCTTTCCGCTTCTTGGCATAATAAGTCCGCTGGGCGGCGGGATCTGCGATGATTTGCGTTGCGCGCCGGCGCTATCTCCAACTTCTTCTGCTTCAGCGCACCCACACGGCCAATTCTTCATCCGGTGCACGCTCAGCAATCGCGAATCGCAGCAGTCGGTCTGTGCCAGACGCGGGCGTCCCTTCTTCCTAGGACCGGACCCATCGTAATGCGCCATGCTGCGGTAGAGTTGCAATTTGGCCGCAGAATCCTCTCGTATGCAGCGCCCTTTTCCCCCTCCGGAGCGACAGGGGCAATGCCTCAAGAGAAGAAGCCTGATACGTGCCACCCAGCTTGTTTTCGGTGCTCCTTAAGCGATGAGAAAAGCTCTGTGGGTGATCGTAGGTGGCCTTCGGTGGGGATGCCCTAGCGCCACGGCCGTCCAATTCCCCCGGTACCAGGCTCGTCTCCGTTGCATGCCGCGGACTTCTGCCTCCTCGAGGCCACGACAAATTATGCGCCTCTCGTAACCGTATACCATTGGGATCCGACCGGCGAAGATGCTTGGTGAGCATGAACCGCGTGATGGAGTCTGGAGAGCGTTACGCTGACTTCTGGACACATGCATGGTCCCCGGGTGGCAATCGGACGCTCGCAGAAGTTGTCATTGCCGTTATGTCCCAATACGCCATCCCATTGTTGGGCTGCGATGTCGCATCCAGATGTTGCGAGAGTGAACATACAATGACCAACGCGTGCGCCGAAATTACATTAGAAAGATTAGCGCTCACAAATCTCGGCAGCTGTTCTTACTGCCCAGCTCGACTTGGGCTAGACCGTAACTCCAGCGTGTTACGAACTCAACTATTGGAATTGACTTGGCTACAACACCACAATATCGACGGCAATCGGACTCCCCAGTGAGGTCGATCGCCTCTGATGGTCCGGAGTACGAAGAATATTTCACATCGGGATTGAACCGTAGGAATACGCAAAATAATAGGCAATGCATCTCAATCCCTCTCCAGCGTCCGGTCTGAGTGGAGTCTGTCATGACATAGTCTGTACCCTAGTCTCTTATGCACTCAAGAGGCACAGAGCATTGCTGATGCTTCTAACTAGGGTAGTCACGCTTTCGCCTCAACGTTTCTGTCTACTCTCCGTCGTTGGTCGAGGAGGTGCCTACATTGTGAGTTGATACGTCTCGAGGTTCAGCCTGGCCGCTCATATCAATGAGCCATTTCCCATCTATAACCATAGCGGCGAAGCACCGCCGGTCGTGGCGCCGCCTGTGACAACTCATCTTCAAGGCCGTACGCTTTCGAAGGCGGGAAGCGTCCTGTTCGTCTCCGATGACGAGCGGATATCACCTAGTGGCGAATCTATCGGGCGTCCAAGAATCTGGGACACCACTGGTGGCTCTCATCATTCTGGCCGCCGCTGCAGTTCGTGTGCCTGAACGGATGCGTAGGTATCGGCAGCCAGGGTGCAAGGGACGAATTCGACCGCTTCGAGAAGGTGCACCCGGTCCTCATTTCAAGTTTCCTCAACCTCATCGACCCTATCGCAGACAATCGGGTCGTCGCTTTCCTCAAATGAAGCACTCAAAGCTTAGATTACGTCCCTGGAACAAACGTGATCGTCGCAACGCCTCAATGGATCGGCAGGGAATTGTCAAGTGAGAACGCACTCCGCCCTCTACGTCCAACCACCCTATCAGATTGAGCGCCCGCTAACTTGATGGGTAGCCGCCCACTCTAGCGGTACCCTTTGCTATCGCTAGTGCCCAGGCATTGTATGATAGGACAGTGTTTGGCCGGCCTTTCCTATGGTCACCGCGCCCGCGATTGTCGATATTGTGGTCGGTGCCATTGCGCTGCATGGGAGAGGGGGATACCACGACGGAGTGTCCGCGACAAAGGCCGCTGTCGCCTATGAGCGAGGTACATCCATCGTCGTCTCTCCCTACCCGCGCACACTCACGATAAGCTTCCTAGCCATGTCTTCCAAGGCTTCATCTCGCCTCTTTTCCCCCTATACGCCGTCAAGGGGAAGACCACGCTGTGAGCGGCGGTAGGGAGGGTTAGGGTTATGGCACTACTCTTGGGGTCGCAGGTGTGTATCCGCTGAGCACAATCTGCGGAGCCCTCAACGCAGGCACAGTGCGTGGCATCCACCTCAGTGCTCATATGAATTCGTTTGCAGCCACTTCATCCCACGGAACTGCAGTCCAAACCTCTGTTCGTCATCTGTACTCAGAATCCGCTTGTCGTGTTCTACTAGTCATACGATGCAGCAGGCGTTCGTTACCGCGTGCGTGCCGCAGCAGAGCCGCCAAAGCCACAACTTCATTCCCTAGCCACTGCATACCTTGTTCCATATCTGTCAACACCGCCATCCTAGGACAGCGGAGGGCGCGGAGCTTACACCACAATCAGAACAGCAAACTATCACGGGTATCGACAACACCGGCCATCTCCTCATCTTCCATCCGCATCATCATCTGCATCGTCGCATCGTCACATCTGCATCTGCGTTGCCTCGAGGCTGTTCCGAGGCTGTTTCAACACGACAAGCGCCTTCATGCGTTGTTCTGTTGCGAAGACCCCGGCGCTGCCATCGCCGGAAATCCGCCAGCTCCGCACCAGGCTTTGGTGCCATGCCGAAATCTACGGGCTCCGGGCTCTGCGCGGCGCCTGGACCATGAGTAACCCCCTCATCAACTTGACCGGAATCCGACCTCGCCTCCGACGCGACTGCTCGCTGTTGGGTCTGGTGCGCACACGCCACTCTACCTGCGGCGGGAGAAACATTGGGCGAGGGGTGTTCGTTCACCCTCTGGACGCACGTGCAGGTGCGTGATCTCTCCTCTTTCTCGCTCTGCCTCGGGCGGGTTAGGGTGGGACCGAAGATGTTCATTACTTTTTCCCGGATGCGTAGATCGCAGCGAGAACACGAGTGCCTCATGCCGTATCTTGAAGATAAGACTTCTGAGGCTTCCGTCACGTTCCTATCGCCTGTCGCGATGAGGTGGCATGGCATGTCCGCAGGCTAGGTTCTGTGTTGTACGGTCGTCATCCCAGAAGGCCAAGTCTTCCGTGTTTCAGGCCCGGCGGCAGGTGCAGGCATACTCACGAGAAGGGTGTGCCCATCGGGTCGGAAAAATAAGTCTCCCTCGGGGACGGTTCGGCCTTGTCTGAAGCGTCAGGATAATTCTGCGGGTGGTGGCCGCTCTAGATTATGTGGAACGGCTCCGCACGCCTGAAGTGGTGCTCTCGGTTCCGGAGGGGAACATCGCGCCTGAAGCATGATGCACGCGGCGCAGGTTGTCGGGCGAGGCGCCACTATCCGACTTGCATTACAAGGTCGTGCTCTCCTCAGTCTCTCATCGGCGTTATCGCCGACGGGAATGTACTCACGCTGCCAATGTGAGCACCACATTGAAGGGTTGCTTTCCTGCTCGATGCTACCGTCAGCGCCACAATGCGCAGACGGCCTAAGTGCTCGCTCCGACAGAATGTGGTATGACCTAACACGTCACGGGGCTTGTGCCTATGGATGGGCAGAATGTGGAGCTTCCGCGGGGCTTGCGAGTGTCTCGCGGTGAATATAATCGCCATATGACCAGCCATTCGAAATCCGTTGCCGTGAGGTTTCTGGGAATAATCGGCTTTGCTGAGGATTGTGTCAACAGTAGCATTGATCAATCTTACATTCTCTAGCATCCGCTAGTTTGACTGCATGTAGGGCTTTGTTCGGAACTTGAACAGCGCCATATCTCGCGTTACCAGGGCTTCAGGTGATTGCGTTCAGTTGATCAGTGATTTCGCTATCTCGCTACGGCTTTTGTGCTTTGACATGTTCGGACCTTGCCATAGATAGCAATCGGAGTTCTACGACGATGTTATATGGCGACATTTACCACTAAGAGGCATTCGGTGAAATTCTGACCAGATTCTGCCTTCCGTCCGCTCAGTTGCCTATATTGTGTTCTTTCTTGGTGGTTCGGCCTCGGTTCGGTCTTTTCTTCACATCTGCCTCCCCCAAAACGGCGATGGCCTGCCGAACTGCATTCTCGGATGCAATTGACGGTAGGTCTGGCCGCGAGCGAACTTGCTCAATGCCAGTTGGCTCCTTCACGCTACTGAGTGTTTTCACTCTTTTGGGCCTTGCATCGTTCCGGCGGCGTTCATCGCACAAGCTGATCGCGCAATGTGCTGGGCACCTTGGAGAGCTCAACACATAACTGAAGTACGTGTCTCGGGACATCCCATTATATCCGTATTTCATTCTGCACAGCCTAATGTCTTGCCCACATGCCTTCTGTGAAGTGGGAGGCAAGTTCCAGAATCTATGGCTTCATTACGTCAACTGCATACCGTCGTTGTACCTGATGATCACTTCATGGAACGAGAAGCCGGAGGGCAGAGAGGATGCGGCCGCCGGACAGTTCCGGGCACAATTTCACACTCTTGCGAACTCAGGTCCAGGACATCGTTGACGTGCTTACCAGTGGTCGTATGACGTGCTCCACCCCGTGGCAGCCATCTCCTTCCGACGATCCGCTCTCATCCGTGGAATGAAGCCTAAGTGCCAGGAATCGGTGAATGGCCTCGCACAAGTGCTGATGACATTGGAGCCTCATGACACTAGTGGCGATCGTATGACAGAGTGCAAGTCTGTTCTTAGATAGCTCGCCTAGAATTTGCATTCTGTCACAATACTTCATCATACGTGGTCCATCCAGATGTCTTCGTTTCGACATCCATAGAAAGCCCACATATTAGTACACGTTTGCTGACCCTGTCTCTAGGATCATATCGAAGAGCGTTGACCTTAAAGAAGATACGAGCATTGAAGTTACGCACCGCTCAGGATTTTGAACACTGTTCTTGGAGAGATAAGGAGGTTCTACACACGGGTTTCACACCTCGCAGGAACGAGTCTCCATTCCCATGGGGGCCATTCATTATTTCTGGGGTGTTGGTGAAATACTCCGAACCGCGGCAGACGCGGACCACGGGGAGCTTCTTCGCACTTGATCGTTCGCAAATAGAATCATCATCACCTGCAGGCGCACTTGATAATCTACTGTAATACCATGTCCGCAAGTATTGTCCTTCGATTCAGTCTAGAAAAATATTCAGCCTGAACCCATCCCTTTGCAGAGGTACATGGGACTGTGACCAGGATACCGCGTGTCCGCAGCAGTCATGCGATCCGCGATGACATGCTACCGCTGTATGACTCGGGCTTCAGCCTGCGCTCGAATGTCCAGGAAAGGCTTGTCACATAGCTCTGATCCAGTGAATTCGACCTCCCTAACATGCAGCTTCTTATGTAGAGGTGTCAAGGATCTGGCAGTCTGCCCCGACACCAAAAGAGGCTCATCAATTCAAAAATTCAAAGGAATCATGAGGTCGACGTCAAAATATGGACAGGACAGGTGATGGTCGCGCACTGTTGCTATGCTTATGCATCTTATATGGCGCTGCGGATTGGAATTCTGACAGGGTATTTTGTATAATGATATCATTCAGGCTTTGCTTGATCTTGTCCTCCATTAACGGACCCGCAGCTGACAGCTGTCCCGTCCGCTCTTTCATGCACTCGAGGCAACTTCCGGACCGGCGAAGTTCTCCAGAAGCTACTTCGGTACTGTTTTCAGAAAAGTGCCTTGGGGTCCGTATAACGACATACCCCGAAGTTCGTGGCACACCTAGTCTTCACATGCCATTGCTGTCATGATACATCTGAAAGTTCAGCGGCAATCGACTTGAAGCCTATGGATTCCGGAGGGGCCTTACCCGACAGAACCTGTAGAAATCGGACTTACAAGTCAGCGGTACGTCAACGACTTGTGACGTTTTGAAATTGAAAGAACTAGATCCCATCACGGAGCTATTGTATCGAGGACGGCCCGGGCTGTGGCGAGCGTCCATTGATATGGGATACTAGAGGTCAGCACATTAATGTGCTCCTCGGGCAGTAAATTTGAACGCTAAATACCCAGACTACCACGCAATCGTACTGCTGTAGCATGGATGTGAAGATTGCCTTCGTCTCAACACTGTGTCACTGCCGGCCGAAAGGCCGATTGTGGCATGTTCCTGTACCAGATGCCGCGATCGAGATATTAGATGTCCCCGCACAAATTTACTCCAGTTTTTCTCAACCGTCTCCTGAATTGTTGGCTTGAGATTTTATAATGGAACATGCTGCGCTCAATTCCGATAAACTCATAGGCACAACTCTCATCTAGCGGAGCATTTCTAGAAGTCCTTATACACTGGTGTATATACGAAGCCCTTTCAGTGCAAGTCGCAATATCTTGGGCTTTCCTAGGGATCACGTAGCACAGCTTCTAACTGGAGTCAAAAAGTTTCACCCAAAGAGGGGATTTGGCCGCGTTGTCCCACCAGAAAATAGTTCCGAGCCATTGCGGAGATATGGCTTGTGCGTGCGTCACATTACTTATCATGAGCTCCACATTCTCTGACTTGGGAACCTCTTCCTCCGCCAATTAGGTGTACCATCTGAACTTAGCGGTCCCGTTCTGGATGGCCAAATGTCAACGAAACAGCCTGTCGCTCTTATTCGGCCATGACACTTCAACGCCGTCTCGGGGCCTATTTAAGGAACATTATTGCTCAATTTGGAGGCGGGCAAAGCTATAGTACACAAACTCCGATGTCCTGCCTAGATGGGTGAAGACGCACGATCACTAAGTAGCGCGAGGGGGCTTTCCCTGAGGCGATGTGAACCTTTGATTCGATGGTCCGCATTACCCATACTAGAAGGAGAAAGATGAATGTATCCTCTCGCGATCCAACTAACTGGAAAGTTCCGTCATTTTTTCGGCAGTGGACGGCGTGTGAGGCTCGGCGGGACCATCACAAGACCATCCCTAGAGGTGAGAACCCGCACGAAGTCTCGACATGGGAGATGCACAGCGGGAGCTGTATCAAGTCGGGGACATTACTCTCCATGACTTGTTGAACATCTTCGACCTCGATTAGCTGCTGCATCCTTCGGCATTCTTGAATAGGGTTCTGTTCCGCATTGATCATTCTCCCTTAGCACGGCTGGAAACGAGCTCGAGTGTCAAGACTCCATGTATAGAAGGTGCTTGCTGACTTACCCACGCAGACAGCCGTATGGTCTCGAATTCCTGAGCTGGGTGGCCGCCAGTCGGCACTTCGGACTATCCCGAGTTCTGGTAGTGGCAACTCCACACTGCCACATTGCGCATTCTTCAAACTCCGCATCACACGCGCCCCTAGAGGTACTCACATATTCACCCCGGACGTTTCAGTGCACTTCACCATCAATCCCCAGCCGAGTAACAGCTTTTGCATCCCGGTGCGCGGGGTAAGCGTCCATTGCTGCGTAAGCTCTCGTTACTCACACTATACATACAGTTCATGTAAAAGTCACCGTCAATTGGCCATGACTGGTGACACCGCTCATGGTGAGAGTTGAGCTGACATGGCAGATAGATGGTAGCGAAATAATCAGAACAGCGTACCCCACAATCAGTCAGGATCTATCCGACGTGGCTTACGTGGGAATTTATATGCCTGGTACGTCCTTCAAACCTCACAAAGTCAATCCCAGATGGCCTCGATCGGACGCCATGTGGGTTCAATGCTTCTCTTCTCCACGAGAGTCTTGCTTCCTGACGAGGATCAAGCTCAGAAGTTACTCAAAAGATATGCACCGACTAACCCACAGGCGTTTTTCTCTAGGTATCTGGCTCGCTTGAGATGGGGCAATCAGGTGTGGAGGTGACCGGTGTCACTGTTGGCTTCGAGTCCTCCATTCATATATCCGGGGGGGCTATCAGGCCGCTTCTCTAGCGAGTGCTGCAAGTTCGCTAACCCTCTCAGATTCTCGTGCAGGAACGCATTTTACATGTGTAATCAGTGACCCCCACACCAACACGAAGGGGACAACGTGATGTAGCTCTCAGGCTGAAGTACCCAAGCTTCGTCTTCCTCTATATTCCCGCTGTTGTGAGATACTCGAGGCCGACCGCTAAACTCCGTAGTTCCCAGCTTGCCAACATGACATTGATCAGAAACGATCATAGATGTTACCCTATCCGTTCAATCAAGGGCTCCTTCTCCGTGGACAACCACTGTACGCATACATCATATGTGATCTACTATGACAAGCCGCTGACTTAGTAAAGTAAAGGCTTGTGGTGCCTCGAACGTCGTGCGAAGTGAAACGAAGCGAGCAGCTGCCAAACCGCATTTAGCAATCGTCTTTGCTTTGGGGCGATCATGTCGAGTCTTCTCTCTGGCTATGCTTCGTGAGACCAGCCTAGAGACCTACTGATATCTCGGCACTCAAGGCAGCATGGTTCTAGATTGTACTCGGCTGCCTTCTCCATCTACTTGATAATCAAGTTTAGCATTCATGTAGCACAGCTTGTATCCTCGACTACAATGCATGGGCTCGGACGGACTGGATGGGAGCTTGCGCGATGACCTATGACATAGTAGGAGCTAGTACGGACGAAAGCGAGAGCAAAGCGGTGTAAACCTAGCAGCAAGATACAACTTTGGAGTGCATGATACAGTTAGCGATCGGGATAATTCAACTGAAAGAAGGAACGTGTAGCGAACTAAGACTGCGGTGCAACCCGAGTCAGATAAAGTACGAGGGGTTCGATTTATCTTCCTTTCTTCTTCCGCGGCGTTCTGCGACGCCCACGAGCCACTGCCGTGAGACTTCCTGCTTCTCACAGCGCCCAAGAACCTCGGGCACGCTCAGGGGCAACCGGGTGATAGGAGGGCGGAGGCTCCCTATTGAAATGTGGGGCGAAGCGCGCCGGGGGCCTCGCTGCAGTTGCAGCCGGTAAAAGTGCAGGAGCGCGGTCGCGACGCCGGGCGGTCATGAGCGGCAGGAAGCGCGTCCGAGCGCGATCGAATCCGCCCGAGGGAGCGATTGTCCTCCGGCTTTTCGATTTCAGCGTCGAAGTGATCATGGTCAGTGTGCGCCGGCGAAGAAGGGGGCGAAGAGGAAGAGCAGCTGGCGCCGCCGTAGTAGGAACATGACGGTACTGGGGTACGGTAGTAGGAAGGGACGTATGACTGGACTTGGGGAGGAACAGCTGCACCATCGCGGTGGTTCCTGTAGTGCCTCCGCATATTGGAGTTGACACTGAAGCGACGCGTGCAACCCGGGAAGGGACATTCAAATGCTGCGCTAGATAGTCAGCAGATAGTCACGAGTGAGTCATTCAGTGACATACGCTGGGCTCCGGTGTGCGAGTTCATGTGAATCATCAAGCTGCTGGGCCTATTGAATCTTCGGTGACAGATGCCGCAGCCATGCCTTCGGTCATCGTCGGGTGGACACTGATCGGGGGAAAGGACATATGTGGGGAGATCCAACCCAGCGAGAATTTGAGATGCGCTAGGACTACGACCAGAACTCAGAGCGTGTGGGGGATAGGCCTTGATGAGGCGCGCATTGCGGATACCAGGGAGATGGTCCTCGAACGCCTTCCCTGCAATATCTGCGTGGGGGGGCGAGGATATCGGGTGGATGTTCGTGTATGGAGCACCGCGAGCTGTGACGGCGCGCTGGATTTTAGGGGAGTGTGGGGATCCAGAGCGGAATTGGCGGTGCTGCCTGGGTGATGGCGCATTGCGCGAGTGAAGTTCTGCATCGTGAACCTGCCAGATTGTCAATCAGAGTTGTGGCGAATCAGGGCTAAAGCATCAACGCAAGGCTTACTTGTGGATGCGACGACGTAAGATTCACCATTGAGGTCACTCTTGACCGTTTGTCTACGGATTGCAAACGGAGCTTGTCAAACTCCAGATCTTATGAGACTCAAGTTAGTTATGCGCAGGTGAAGAGTGAGTTCAAAGAGGGCAAAACGCACCAGACAGTAAATCCTGGATACTGGGCAGCGTGGGGCGGGACTCTGTGTCGGTCTTCGGCATGGCTATAGCTAGAGGGCGGCCCAGTATAGTGAGGGAAAGATGTAGGCCGCTAGGGAAGAGATGGAGCAAGTAGCTGAGCTCAGTGGGCCCGAGAAGAAGGTGTTATATAGAGAGATGGCACGCAGTGCCGCTTCCCGTAGAACCATCAATCGTAGATCACTCACTTGTGAGCGGCTGGAGGATTGGTCTCCAATTACGGCAACTCGGCCGCGATCGAAGGATCCGGGCGGAGCCCGTGAGAGCATAGCAGGAAGGCTCGACCTCGGGCGGTCAGAATGGGCGGAATGTGTCGTTGTCGTCAGCACGAGAGAATCGGTAGCTTGTAATAGTCACCTGTCTCTCAGTAGCGCGAGCGTAGACGCAGACCACATATTCTGGGATTTGCGAGACTCGCGGGTGGAAGATTCGCATCGGAATGGCCGAGTGTGAGCGGGTAGGTGAACAGCCTCGTCAGCCTATCCACAAGGAGAATTCAGGCAAACGCTCGCATTCAGCATGTTCCCGCGCCTGCCTTTCTCCCACACTTCGAACCAGATGAGGTAGTCGTTGACGAACTCAATGGACACCTAAGATTACTTACGATGCCACCTAAGGAGAATCGTACAATGTTCGACGCTACACCGACACGCAGACGCAGCCTGTCGCACATGGCTGGGGCATTGGGCAATCTGACAATCTGGGCGTCATCCGAACGATGCGTTCGCGCGTAAGCACAGCGTCCGATGTTCAGACATCACTCGATACAAACAGTCGATGAGGGGATATGCCGACAACCAATACAAACGGGAGCAGTGGGCACCCATGCGGGCCTCGAGCGCGATAGCGAACCAGTCTATTGGAGCTGTGGCCTGCGGTGGGGAGTGATACTCGTATCGCGAAGTCATGCACAGCATCGGTGCATTGGTACATGGCCGAAACAGCTGCTGGATTGCGATACGAGGCATGGGTATGATGCGGCGGAATCACAAAACGTACTGGGAGCACTCACCGCCATTGCTGGGGAGGTGGCGGGCAGTCTGAGAGGAGAAATGGAGAGGCATCTCGGCCTGCGCAGCGCTCTCACGATCAGACATGTGACAGATACCGGTCATCTCTTGAGATACCGGGGGCGCCTCGAGTCTGCGCCCTCGTTTGTGCTCTCCTCACCCAACACCACTCCGCAAGCCGATCCTCCGATGTACAATCGGAGGATAGAAGACGGCCAGCCACGGGCGACTTGGATGCTCCCGCGCTGTATGAGAAGCAACTCTATTCGTGATCGCACACAGGGCGGTGGTAGTGACAAGTTCGCATTTCAATAGCGCACCGCCGCCCACGAGAAGGAAGAGCGTACCTCATGGGCACACATCGACGACGCTAGCCATCAGGAATCGATTCAAGCACCACGTGGTAGATACATTATCACCCGTACTTGACTGTGTCCCGGTAGGATTGCTGACCACTCTCAGGCCATCGCTGGAATCCTTGCCCGAATCAGCGTCGGCCTCTAGTAGGACCCTTATTCACAGTCAGCATGTTGTGGGCAAGTGGTTTCGTTATGTCATGTGCAGTTCGCGTGTATTGCTAAGTGTAGGGGACGTATAGGAAGGCAGTCCCCCAGGTGCCGCGTCGCGCCTGGCGCGAGCCTTCGGCTGACAGAATTCGAAGGGTCATCACGCCCATCCGCCATAAGCTTTGCAAGCGTCAGCAGTGTTGCATAGCATCTGGAGTTGGATAGACAGGAGCATCATGTTGGATAGAAGGCTGGATGCGTGAAGAACGTTCTGTTGTTCTACACAGGTCCGCTCAGGTCAAATCTATCCCTTGGCTGGAGGATAGATACCATCCTGGGCTGACTCTTCAGCATATAGACGAAGGAGAAGACTTCCCGTCATCAGAGTATGTTCGACACACCAAACTTCTGTGATATCAGCGAGGGACTGGATGCGCAGCACAGTGGCCGAGGTTCGGAGTGTGCCGGACGCGGCTTCAAGGGAACCTCAAGTAGATATCATGGTCATTGAGTCGAACCTAACAACACATGAAGGGCGCGGGTCGGTTCGCAACGTTATTTATGTTCAAGGCCGCAAATGTAGCCGGCCGCTTTGCGGAGCTTCGCACTCTGTAAGGCGGGAATACTGGCCGCGCGGTTAACAAGGGATTCGTTTTCGCCATATCCCGGTCATGATCTGCCGCTCGCGCGACTGAATGTTTTCAGATCCTTCCAATTTGCTACGTTGGTTTGAATTCTCGCCAACCATCACTGCTAGGAGCGACGCAGTTGCAGAACAGGCATTTCGACCCGCCGGAATTCACTGCGTACTGATGACGCATGCCCTGCCTTCACCAGAAGGCCTGTCATCACGTGCATAGAAGTCAGAGCAGGTATCGTGTGTATCAGTCTACGCAACACATGATGTGACCACGAGTCGTTGCGGAAAATCCGAGGATATGAGCGGAAAGCAGTCGGACACCGCAGGCGTCTCGTCGGAAAGCTTTTGGCGGATACAATTTCGGTTACTACATGAATAACCGCCTTCTCACAGTCAAGCCGCCCACCTCAGTGGGTGGGCATCACGCCAATCCTCGCTACGTCCCCATCAATAGCAGATTTATTCGACTGTTGAGCCATGGCCCATGGTCGCAGCTCGACAGGTTTGGCTAGTATCATGGCAACATTACACACCGATTGTACAGCACCATGGTCACCCTCGTACGAGCGGCGCTCTCGTAGTCTCGAATCAGGCTCAGTCTCGCACGTGGTGGTTCGGAGTCTCGGAGACACCGGCGATTGTAAGGGCGGCTTCCAAGGAGTCGAGGACCGGAGGGGGAAAGACGGATCTGCCTTCTACATAGGGGAAATATACAGCCCGCATCGGCTGATAGTTTCAGGGACACCCGGTAGTACATGGACCGCTACCAACGGACGTTAAGTGTAGCCCTGCTTAGCTCCATGATCGTTCTCTAGAAAAACCGAGATGGGAAGGAGCCTGCGGAACTTGAAGCTACACCCGGCCCTCAGTAGGAATTTGCGACTGCGGGCCTAACTGTGTGATATGAATGTTCAAGTCGCTGTGACGCGCCTCGAATGCGATCTCAGATGTTGTGGGACTATATTGGTATGCGGTCTAGGCTGGAATATCATGCAAAACGCACCGGAAATAACTTTCCTATGAGGCAAAGGTATGGCGGTGCTGGGTATATCAAATGTTCAATGGAACCACGGGATCAAAGACCTGCCAGATGCACCTCGAAGACGCGTAGGTACGTACCGCAGCGGCTCTACCAAGCGGTCGGGGTCAGTTGTCTATACAACTGCCATGAACAGCTCGTCTGTACGCAGCACTATGGCCATGCACACCCTCCCTGTGTGGCTTTCAGCGCTGTACCTGGTATCAATGTGCCTTGAGGCGTTCAGAAGTATCACGCCATGGACCGCGAACTCAGCGGATTACCGCCTGTTCCATACATTGGCCTGACATGAGGCTCCCAAGAACCCACGGGAAGATATTAATAGGGGTACACCTGATAACGACTTGGACCTGAGCGAATGGTTGAGAGTATCCATTTTGTAAAAGAGTGTGACGAGCACTCAAGGACGAGCGGATGCCACTTCAAGCTCGCAAGGTTCACGTGTACAAGATTCTAGCAACGCAAGATGTTATCCCGGTAGTAATGTGTGAGAACAAACTGAGCAATTATAACCTCATTATCATATCTGAAGACACATACCAGAGGCCGTCGATTGATTCTGAGGGTAGATAGCCTTGATCCGATATTTTCAACGGTCCTGGAGAGGAGAACCAAGCAGAATAACCATTAGCGAGATCTCGCCGCACTCAATACTGTGCCATCATGTGTCAACCGGTCAAATTGTCTTTCGACATCGCCTGGAAGGCTGGCAGCTTAGAGGGGGTGCCCGAGTCTCGTAAAATTGGGCTATTGGGACCGCGTCGGAATGCTGAGTAGTCACTGCACGCACTTCCAGAAAGTTTCGTAACGGTGGTAACGGATGGCTTTCCACGTGATTGCCACTCACAGGAGTGATGGAGTCTTGAATACATCGATGCATCTCATCTAGGACTAATATCCGACGGATGCGGATGACTCGTGAGCATCCGACGTGCACGGTCATCTAGTCAGATTGGAAGACGTCGAACAACTGTAGTGCCAAGGAAAAAAAGAGACCACTCACCAGGCCTACAGTGACTCGGAGAAGAGTGGTAGATCTCGTCATTACTGCCAAGATCTCTCGTTTGGTACATAACTGCGAGAGGATCCTCCAATGCCGTCGAGCGATGCCTGAGAGGGACCTGCGTCGACAAGAGTTGTCACTGATTGCAACCGTTAGTTACTAGAAGACGATGCACTGCGTCTTGGAGTCATGCATGGCATCATCAACAGGCGCCATTCCGAAAACTTCGGTACTTCACCTCGTATACGTAGCTTCCGGTACCGGAGGAACAGGTCGAGAAGTCCGGGCGGGAGGCTTTAGCGCACTGTAGTACCCGCGTCGTTTTGCAGCCTGCCGCTCATTTTCTTTCTCAGACACGTGGATCAGCTCCAGTGTGTGACATTCTATCTAGGCGTCGATGTCACGGACAACCCATCACCGTTGAACTTTTCACAGCAATATGTCCAGTGGCTTGAAGGCTACGCGGTAATTTCTGCCCCGGTTCGTACACATCTACAACCTGTCATCTATGATGACTTGGATGTACAATCGTGATCTTGGAGTTCTACGAACGGTCGTGGCCACGTTCAGGGCCGCAGTAGAAATGCAAGCAAAGTTTTACAATCGTCGGACATTTGACTCTCATCGAAGATAGCACTGACCTGGTATAGGAGAGGTCTGCGTACCTGCAAGGGCGAATAACCCTCGGGTCTGCAGACCTCGTTGTAGTCTCTACGGTATAGACCTCCTTTCCCGTCGACCCGGGTGACTGTTCGCCCTAATCCAGCGCCGCAATATCCCTGCTAATGGTACTCGGGCTGTATCTCAGGTGTAGTTTTTTCTCGGACATTACAAACGACTTCCAGAAGCTAACCGGTGGTGCCGCCCATGAGGCAGTGCCTTCCTCTAGGGTACCCCGTTTCCCAAGTCCTGGAAGTGTTCAGCGCTGGCAAGATCCCTGTATAAAAACCACTGCCTCATACACCCAGTGTGCCTGTATCTGACGGACAATTGTGAGACTTATTCAATACCCAAAAAACGTAGCTATTTCTGTCGTCTGATCGCTCAACATAGATGCCTTCAAGTTCCTGATAGTGTCGCCCGCCAGCCCAATCGTGGCATTTGATTTGAAAAGACCCGGAGAAGCGAACATTTGGCATCGTACCTTTGGGATGACAGTCAAACCAGACCGGTCCGTGCACCCACTATATCGCTCTTTCTGCGCTCAACGCTCAAATCAGTGCCTTTAGATTTTTCTGCACCCGCAGCCGGAGAGTGGCTCTGCTTTACACAATTAACACCGATGCACCATGTGCTTGATAGGGGTTTCATCTGTCGCAAACGATTCACTACACGGCATGGAAGTAGCGTGAATGAGACAACCAGTTCACTCAGGGTTGTACCGCGTGGCTCTTGTCCATTACACGATTCGCCCTGACATCCTCACGCTCTACGTCCCGATGATTCCCTATGCTACACCACACTTCTTGAAAGGGGGAGGCGGAGTCGACTCAGGACCCTGAGAGAGTTTCTCGGCACGAAGGATGAATCACCAAGGACAACCACGACGTAGCTCGAGGCATCCGACGCCATCGTAGTCCTCATGTTCTCGCCCTGTCTAGACCGTAGTTCAGCCTGAAGGATGAAGATCGTCTAAACCCTCGTGGCATCGGATGTACTCCCCGGCAATCGTGGTGGTGGGTATTATAACATCAGTCAAGAGCCTCACGTCACGTGATGGTAAGTCGCAAGTAGGGCCCCCCAAGACAATCGTTGGCGTAAAGGCATCCGGCGACAAGCGCGAAATACTCATTACAAGAAACCATCAGCGAGACGGAGTACGCAGGGCGCAGGGTTGGAAACGTCGGCAACAAGTTGTGCTACGCTCGTGGGTCTTGGGGGCGTTTCTGCTATATTCTTCAAGTATCGTACAAACCATGCGGCATTGACCAGAGACATCCTAGTATGCTGAGGGCTTGTGTTCTGTACCCCTGCTGCTCCGCCACGTTTCTGGGCCCTATGTGGCATCAGATGACGACAGATGAGTGTCATCGACAATCATGACTCAAACATGACATACCGTCCTGTTCTTGATCCTCTGGTTCCTAATTCGCCTCGCAAACCAATCCTTTGCGGTCGCGCCGGTATTGTATTTGCCAGACGGGAGCTTCGCGATTGCCTCAGCGATCATGGGGCTCTCGTCGGACAAGGGACGCAGTAGTACAGAGTTCCCCGGCCGCGTAAAGAAGACAAGTGACCAACGTTCGTACTTCCCTTGTTCCTTCGGTGGAGGGCTAGATGGTGACATCAGAGCGTATGCGTACTGTAAGGAAAGCGGCACTTACACAACGCGGTGTAAATTCGAGCGCAAGATACCGCCGCTGAAGATGGTCATGGCGTCTCCGAGGTTGCAGATAGCGTGTCCCGGGATAGGCTAGGAAGGTTATTCATGATTAGCCAACGTGGGACTCCCGCGAAAGAGGTCGCAGACGTGCCTTCACATACTGCCAATCGTCCGTACCTGGCACCAATACCTGGAGCCCGCCAAGACGGTTGTGCAAGAACGACTGTAATGGAAGGTTAGTGCTACATCCATCCAGAGACCCTCGGGTGACGCACCAAAGACCCGAAGTCTGTATGCGCCCCGATGGCCGCTTGTTCCTCTGTGATTCCCCCAGGCTTCGGCGGATTCTTGATACACCTCGCCTCACTTCCGCTCGGCTCCTCAAGCGGATGCTGCTTCGCAAGCGTGCCCTTTGGAAGCCCCAGCCTGTCGTTCAGCACGTCCAGGAGGGTGTAGTTCACGTCTAATGACTTCTGGACGAAGGGCTTGATTGTAGACTCCATGCGTGCGTTGACGGTCGAGGGATACTCGCGGTGGACTTTGCCCGGCCAGGCGAGCGCATCATCTTTGGCGACATTGATGAACTCGACAGTGTCGAGAGCCCCGTTTTCGTCTGTCGCGTTGGCGCCAGCGGCTTTGTACCTGTGCATAGGCGTTGTAATGAGCGAAGGGTAAACGTATCCCCGGATTTGGCCTTCGCACCCGAAGGAAGACCCTTCGTCCCCCTGCTCATACTTCATCTTCTCCTCCAGAGAGAGGCGCATCGTCTCCGCGCCCATCTCAAACATCTCGTTGGCGTCCTCATCGACACCGTGGTTCTTTAAACTGTCCGAAGGGATGGTGTACTGAGGTTCACGGCGAATAGGCGCAGGAATGTTATACTCACTACCAGAAGCCAAGCTCTGTGGCCGCCTTCCACAGCTTATCGATCTCCGCTTCGTCTCGGTTGAGTATGAGCTGATAGTCCACAATGAGTAATGGGTGCGTCGGCACGTCCTCAGGGAATGGCGGGAAGCCCAATAGACCCGGCATCGTTCGTCAGTAACTCGGGACAACGAAGACTAGCTGGCGTAATAGAGGGAATCAATGAACGAACAGAGGAGCAAGGTCCGTTCCAATGGCGTTCCAAGTCAATGATGATCGTCGCCTTATATAGTGGTTGCGCCGGCGCAAGTCGCGCAGCGACCGTGGGGAGCCGTAAGCCAAGGACCCACCGGGTTCAATGTCGGATGCGTCGTGCGACCCAGTCTTCTTTTCCCAGGCACAAGGCGAGGCCCGCTTCGGGAGCGACATGTAGTCACGAGGACAGCAGAAATAGAACCACGCAGCGACGTTCGCTGGGTGAGCGGTTCTGACTTACCAGAAGGCGATCAATGCGTTGCTTCATGGGTACGTACCCCAAACATAATACGTATCGGAAAGCCAGGAGATCGACCGCTCAAGGTAAAAGAAGATGGTATCGGAGTCCGATGTCGTGTTCAAACGCCTATGCGTATCGCTCGCATCACTGGAGAAGAGAACCTGGAAGAAGCTAACATCGGTCTGGCTTTGAGAACGTGGTAGAAACCATGCAGTAGCAACAACGACACGGCAAGCGGATGCGAGAATTAGCAAATCCATCTGCGCAAGAAGACGGCATCGGAACACACCTTGATATTGCTCCCCACAAGCCCAAACGTGGACTTCGATCACGTAAGAAGAAGCGATATTCGAGGAGAGCGTCATGCACGAACTCCAATTCGTGGGGCAAAAGCACGCTCCATGGCAGCTACGGTGAGGACTGCTTGCTTGCGTGCGTGGCGTGAAACTTCGTTGGTGATCTAGACCGGCAAACAGGAGAGGTTCTAAATGACGCAGTCATTTCTGGTGCTGATCTATATCTCAGAGTTCAATAACGTATGCGAGGGACCAACACAGAGGCAGGAGCAAATCGGATACTTATGAGGAAGCTGCATTGAGGAATTGGGTTGCCTGCCGATTAGCGCCCATGGTAGTTCCCGTGACAGGGTCAAGGCGCACAGACCACGTCCCGGGGCGTCCGCGCTTCCCGTGCGGCAGCGCTCAGCTTCGCGTCAACAGAATGTGGTCAATTCTGCGGTGAGTTTCAGTATTCCAGCTCTTGATGAAAATGGGGCGAGACGAACTGGCTCTTCGTCGATCTTGGCAGGTCAGTAGACTTACAATTGAGGGCCAGGAGTAGTGCACGGTGAGCACAGTCTCATGATCACAATTGTGTCGGGATACATGGTACACCTTAGATCCAAGCCTATGCATCAGCAAATGGCGCATCCTATGGCCGAGCATGGCCATACCGGCGAATCCCGGCAAGCAGTGGCCGGCGCTCGTCTATCGGATGTCGAAGTCCTAACAGGTTGTTGCTTGCCAGAAGGAACCTGGCAAGCCATGGCATCAGCCACAACGTCTCCTGGCCTACAATGTTGTCTCGAATAAGGCGCCGTGCAGCTTACACGCCGACGCCACTTGGCTGCGATGACATGTCCGAGTCCGTGCTCGGCATAAATAGCTTGGTCCCAGGACGTGGATCGCCCCAACTCATCTTCCTCCCACTCTCATCTTGCCTATGTCTATCTCCCTCTTCCCTCCTCTGATTTCTCTCTCTATGTAGCTAGCCTAAGAAAGTCACAGTAGGTCATTGACGTGCATGTATGCATCGGTATTCACTTGGTATAGGTAAGTCAACCACTAGAACTCTTCTCCTGTAAGGTAGGTGGGCATCCGAGTTTTCGGTCGCCTCACTGGCTGGGCTTACAGACAGATAGTAAGTCTCTAAGCCATCTGTTACTCACCCGGGTCTGTTATCTCCCGCTGTGGGGCACGGACAACCTCCTTGACCACGGACAACTCGTATCGGAAAGTGGAGGGGCCAGGATCGAACCCCAGACCTTGTGACGGCCAGGAGCGCCCATCCTCACTCACTGGCAGGTGACTGATGTGACAGCAGGAACGCTTACTCATTGGAAGGAGTCCGGACTCGGCACGACTCAGGTATTAGTCGTAAGGTCACCATGAGGCAGGTCAGAGGGTAGGACATGAGGCAGAGAACTCTGACCAAACGATGGTCAATAGGTACCTGGTCTGTGCACCGTTGTATTAGTATATATAGTAGGGAGTCTGAGGCAGGGAACCTCAGACTTGATCTTCTTGTCGATCCCCCATCTCCTCTGTAGGTAGCTAGCAGCCCTACCTTCTACTGCCCCTTCTAGTCTAGGGAATACACCTCTTCACATCTCTTGCTGTGTCACCTCTGGTTGCTTCGCTTCTCAGCACCAACCTCTGCATCAGTAAGCTTTG